TTATTTGGGAAGTAATTGGCTTAACGTTAAAGTTGCTACGATTAAAAAAGTTTAAAACCAGGAATTGAATTGTTTTTTTTTAAATGACTGCTGCTGTTAATGCAAACGTTTAGAGATGTTGAAATATGATGTTGGTAGAGATGTTGTGATGATGAATATGTGCTGTTTAACTTGTTTAACCCCCAATGTATGACCGTCCTCTTGAGATCTACATGCATCCATCTTGTTCTTTTTTTTCGGTGCAACATGTGTGAACAATTGATGACAAAGTACCTGAATGCATGAATTTACTTTTTATTTAAGGTTTGTGCGTGAATGTGCACATGCACACCACCACTGATCTTCTGAATTATAGTATTTGATGAGCTTTCTCTAGTATTTCTTTTTTCACTTCTTCTCTCACGTGTTCTATTATAGGATGATTGTCTTTTGGTAGTTCTATCGTTGGTCTACTAGTTGAAAAATAATAATGATAAATCAATAAAAATCAATTGACGCGCTAAAATAACATCATTCTTACCTTCCATCCCGAAAACTCAACAATTCAATTGGAAGTACTAATCTAGACGTACCTAAATTACAATGTGCATATCAATCAATCAATAAATCCTTAATCTAACACTCGAAGCTAATAAATCATTACTCAACCGGTAATAAACGCTCCTTGCCATTTTCCAATATCACGAATATTCGGAAACTCGTATCGAAAATCAATGTTATCGCGTTCGCATATCTTTACGACAATCTTCATTATCGTGCCCTCGAGAACATATTTCAAGGGTGCGGTAATCAGCATTGAATGTTGTTGTTCATCGGGATTCGGCAGAACTACGAAAAAATTCGAGCTGAGACCTTCGTAAACGTTTTGGGTTTGTGAATCGAATAAGAGTACCTCGTCGTATCCAGGTGGCAACGATTCCTCGATTACTTTACGATCACTTTGTAATCAACATTATTAATTTAACAAATGCTAATAACGACATACAGATAAAAAAAACTATGATTTACCGAACCCATTGTGAATCTTTTGCCATTGCTAACTTTCTCGGTTCACCATAGATTTCAACCTGGTTATTTTTAATTCTAAAAAATATTAGAATAATTTCAAAGTGTATTTTTCAAGAATCACTTACTACCAGTGTTTAAGTTCATTTAAAAATAATCTGCGCACCCGCATACTTTCAAAATAATCTATCTGCGCCAAATTTTCTCAATATGCGCATGATATAATATCAATGCCTCATATTATTGAATTAAGATTAAATATGTATTTTTTTATCTGCACAACCCGCAGATTATTTTAAAAATTATCTGCGCAACCAGTCTCCAATCTGCGGTGCGCAGATTGCGCAGGTCAATTTTAAACGCTGCTTACTAATATCACTTACTTTACATTTTGGTGATTTAGGTGAATTCAATCGACTTATATGCACAATTAAACGAGGCCTTGATTCCTTGATGATTATGATTATATCAAAAAAATCAAACAACTAATTAATGACTTAACATTTGAAAATTTAATTTTTTCTTACCTCAAAAGAATAAAAGACAAACACAGTAACTTTTGCTTCTTTTGCTTCTTCAATCTTATTATTTTCAATCTTATTATTATTATTAATATTATTATTATCATCATCATTATTATTATCATCATCATCATCATCATCATCCATACTACCTATTAACGAATCCAATTGAAAATATTCTTTTAGCCCTTCTTTCAACAATGGTAACACGAATTTTCGAAGTTTTTCTGGATCCCGATAGTCAGCCAATGATTGTGTGATATGTGATGGTTCCACATCATTTTTATCATTATTGTTTTTTGGCAAAGTGAATTTCATTAATTGAAGGGATTTGGCGATACGGTCAATATGACCATTGAAATCCATTATAGATCTCTTGTTGACTGTGCGTGCAGATGTGTATGCACCTTTATTAATAGTTCATTGAGTAAAGTGACATAAATTAAATGAAATCCATTTGAGCATTCATTAAAAGAAAGAAATACCTCGTGGATATTTTAGTATGAAGTCACTGGGAGATAAATAAAGTTTTTTCACTTCAAATAAAGGCTTGGTATTCGCGAATATGTCTTCACCGGATGACGTAGGTTCAACAGCCCTTTCAATCAAGACTATTTTTTTTTATTTAATAAATTCCGATTATTTCTTCAAAGAATCCAAAAGAATAAAATAATCAATACCAGAAAAAGGAATATCCATACTGCTGAAGCTTGAATAAGAAATTGATGAATGAAGTATTTTATTCAAATTTGGATTGATTGAATATTTGAGCTTCACGAGTTACATAAGACTAATAAGGATGTAATAGATTAAAATTCTCAGGTAGCTTTTTTCCCCGTTCGTTCTTATCTCATATCGTTGTGTCTGGAATTATTGAAAATTTCCCGTAAATGATAAAACACGATTATGCATAGTCGTGAGCGTTTGTCCAATCAAAAATTTCCTGATGGAAAATCTTTCGCGAATTTGTGTGAATTTTCTGATGTCACAGATAAGAAATTATACAAATAAATAATGGCAGATAGATTTTTGCTACCGTTAAATTAAATCTTTCGGTCGTTATCATTATCTCTTTTTTTTCTTAGGCTCTTTACTCGTTAGCGTGTTTGCAACCACTATTCCTTCTACAACTATTACTAGCCATACTATTTTAAAAACCACCACCAGCTAATAATTATCAAACCACCTGTTGCAGCTTACCACGCGCGCGTGCGTTAACTGTCGTCTCGCCTTGTTAAAAAAAAACGAATTCACCTTCTGTACTCACCACGCAACTATTTCGACGCCAGAAAAACGCGTCTCTCTTTGTAGCGTTGCGCTCGATATCACCGATAATGGCATATCTCACCAAAAACTCCGTAAAGCCAATGAAGTCGGCACTGAAGTCTACAGTCTCAATAATACGTGACTCGACATCGAGTCGTCCCCTTCAAAATACCTTCTCCAGTAAAAAAGGCACTTCACATAAAGTTCCCTCGCTTAATAATAATGGCCTTATTACTACTTCATATGATTATACTTCTTTCGCTCCTCTGGCTTCAAGTCAGTCCTATTCGTCTTTCTCACAGACTTCATATCAAGCCCCTTCTTTGATGAACGATTCTCCTCTTTTAATAAGTCGAAATACTCTAAGCTCACATTTTCATACTATTTTTCGTCGTTCATTCCATAATTGTGCTTCAGTGCCATTTCGAGGGACTGAAAGAACAGTGAAACCTCATTCCTCTAAACCTCGAAAATTTTTAGACACATCTTGTTCGATTAAGCCAAATCCCACCACATCTCACTCTATTTTTGATCTCTTCGATAAACCATTCTCAACGGCACGTAAATCCTTGAGTTTTTCTCATGGGGCTTCCGGCATCCCTAAACATCCAGACAAATTGGCGTCAAATTCAACTGACGGAAATTATTTCAGTATTAATTGTGGAGAAGATAGTTTCTTCCGAAGACATGACTCTTTGGGCGTTGCTGACGGTGTCGGAGGCTGGCGTCATCCTCCTCATATGGAACATGTTGGTGAGTAATAGAAAAATAATTGTTAATTGGTATCCTCGATACTCATATTATTGTTGCATTATTTTTTCAGTCGTCAATTCCGCTTTATATTCTCGGAAATTAATGCATTACGCATACAAGGAACTGGAAAAATACGATATTATTAACAACGAAGAATATTATCATTATGATAATGTCAATCCTAAGCAAATTCTCCAAACAAGCTATGATAAAACTCTCCGAGATTGTGCATTGGAGGTGGGTTTTGACTCATGATTAAAAAACAACTTTACACTTGAAAAATTATGTATTTATTATTATATTGGTTTTTTTTTTAAAAGGGAATTGTTGGATCATCTACAGCTTTAATTTCAGTACTACGGGGTGATGAACTTCGTATTGCGAATTTAGGAGATTGCGGAATAATAGTGATTAGACACAATGACGTGATATTTCGGAATGAGGAACAACAGCATTCATTCAATTATCCATACCAATTAGGGACAGGGTTATTTGATGAACCTTCAGATGCTCAAACTATCAATGTAAAGATCAAAAGTGGTGATATAGTAGTTCTGGGCTCAGATGGCTTATTTGACAACTTATTTGATGATGATATTGTGGAAGAGGTTAGACGAAATGGATTACGCGCTCAAACTATTAGCGATGCGCTTGCATGGCGAGCAAAAGGAGTTAGCGGGGATTTGAACAATGTCAACGGGAGTCCTTTTCAATGTCGAGCCTCTCAAGAAGGATTATACCATTTAGGAGGCAAAATGGACGATATTACAGTTTTAGTAGCTATTGTTACTGAAACACATGATTCATAATTAACTTTTTTAAGATTTTATTTATATACATTTTAAGATTCGTATTATAGACAACCTTCTAAAGTAGACTAGAAAATAGTAAATTACCAACCAACAAAAAATCCCATCCGGGTATTTGATAATTTATTTGCTTTAATAGCTTTTGCTGTTATTGTGTAAATAGTATAGTAGAAGCATAATTAATTATCCCTCCCCACTTTTTATTTTTTATTCGAGTGAATTAATTTACTTGCGATTCAGTATTAATTATTTACTGATCAAATTTTTATTTATTTGCATTGTATATATACAATACACGCATTTTGTATGATCCCACGAATTAATAACAATATTTTATAGGCTTGATTTCCAAATCCCAGCCAGCATAAGACTAATAATAAAATCTAGCCTTATAGCATTGCTCAAAGCTAATATCCGCTTTCCAAAAAACATGATTCTGGACATATATATATGTGTTACTGAGGTAATTATAACTTTGCAGAACTATCATAATTACTTTCAGGTTACTAAGGTTCAGTAAATAGCCACATTGTTTAATTTTTACAAAACAATTCTGAAAAACATGTCAGAAATAAACTTGGATTTTAGATTATTAAATATTTTGATAAGGATCAATCTAATTGTAACAACCAATCACACATCACTCTTCAGCAATTAAAATATGGTGGTGTAACTACATTTATGCATTCGTTGATCCCTTAATTAATTATAGTACGTTACAAATAAATTTTTTGATCGAAAATTTGTGCATCTTTGTTGATTCGTACTATATTATGTGACACTGCGCAGAATTATCTAGCTTATTTCAATCACGCTAGATTTGCGAGATCTCTGCTAATAGAAAAAAATGAACAATCACAAAAAAATAAAGGTCGAAACACTCGTAAAAGAGGTGAAAAAAATATTATATCTATTCTGAAAATAGACCATATTGAAAATTCTAATAAACCTTTTCTTTAATAAGCTCCATGAATTAGATGTAGTCAATGATGAGCTAACTACATTACGCTCAAATGCCGTAAATTTCAGTTCATATACACAGATTCTTTCTCTTCAAGTTTTTTTATTTTAATATTGTAATTAATATCATGCTAGAAAATATACCATCAAAAAGTTGGAAACAGTAATATTTTTTTTCTGGTGGATAACAAATCTAACTTTACTGCTTCGAAAAAGAGTAAGTCGATGTTTTTTTTCATAATTGTTCAATAATTTAAAATTTTGACTTATCCTTTATGCATCCTTTTGAAACAGAGGAGTACACACAATTGAAGAGAGATTTTGAAAAAATGATGAATGGATTCCAAAAGTAATAGTTATTTGCAATGTTATTTGGAATATAACGATAACGATAAATATCGATATCGATATCCGATTAGATCATACATTCTCTAATCTTTACCAGAAAAAGAATCAGATTTTTATTTGCAAAAAATTTCGTTGCAACAAATGAGAATTAAACCTAGAAACGGGGGTTTTTTCCGGCGAGATATTGCAATATTAATATTTTATTGAATTATTCGTCTAGTTTATTCCGATAATGCAAGGAGGCAAAAATCAAGATACAAGAAATCACTTTGGCTAAAAAATTGTTAATAATAATGTTATTCAGAAAAGAAATCGTAATCTGGCAAGAGAAACAATGACTATTTTAGCTCGGCAAGAAATTAATTTTGATACTCAAAGATATATAATTTTCAAGATAGCTTGAGCTGAAAACAGTAATTATGGAACAACTAATATTCCTCAATTTTTTCTCCTCAAATCCTAAGAAAAGCAGCCAATAATATTTTCACCCTAGCATAATAAAAAAATCTATTACCTTTTGATAGCTATGCTTTACAACGGATAACGATAATAGAATTATGCTCCAACGAAGAGATATAATTCTTTGATCAAAAGAATTATTATTAAAGCCAAAAAGTTGTCCGCAATTGTTTAAGCAGCTAATCTTTTTCGCATTATCTTTATTTGCTGTATTTTTTTTTTATTTGTCGATTTGACATGAAAGATTATTCGAAAGAATAATTAGAGGACACCAGGAAAACAAGTATCTGTAAATGAAAAGTCTGATGGTTTGGTGAAAAGAGACTTGCAAAGATTAAGTTAAATGGGTTTGTTCTCTGATCGATAAAGATTTTAGTCTTCATTTCAAAGAATAAAAAAAATTTCTTGGTCTTTTGAGTTTTTATTTGATTGATATTTTGTTTTGTTTTGAGTTGAGTTGAGGGAGCGCGGCAAATAACTGATTTAAAAGGATATAGTTGTGCACGCCAGTCAAAGCATCAGGTCAGTGGCTGAACAAATGGTCTGTAATTTAAGGAAGAGAATATTGAGATTCCAAAAAAAATTGAGGTACTTCAATGCTTCCTGCTAAAGTTGAATTAGGAAAGCTATGATATTCTTGATCAGTAGATGCGCTCTTGTAATAAAAATTCATTTTGATCGTGTTTAGCGGTAAATTAAAAATACTCATTCGATTGAATTTAAGTTCACATGTGGTCTTATAGAATTGAAAAATAAAGCGTTGTATTCGAAGTCGCATATTTTCTTCGATTTAAAAAAAATTATTTGTACAAAAATTCATAAAATATAAAAAAAACTGCATGCAAAATCGTTTAAATACATCATCTTGACGATAATTCGTGTAACGTGATGATGAATGAAACAATCAATCGAAAATCTAACAGATCAAAAAGCGATTATCGACTTATTTTTTGGAAGACTTATTTAGAGGCTAGTTTATTATTTTTTGACTTATAAGACACACTTTCATCATGTCTCAAGCGCGTCCACTCAACGATGAAGAAGTCACTGCAGAAATGAATAAAATGGCAAGTTTATATAAAATCCTTGATCGAAAGATTCCAAAAACAATAATATTTTTTCATTTTCTTAGGTTGAGTTCATTAAACAAGAAGCCAGAGAAAAGGCTCGTGAAATACAAGTGAAGGTCATATATCACCTAATCATCTTATATCATTACATATACACTCTTGTTTGATTAATTTATTTGGTCGTATTTTTTTTAAATAGGCTGATGAAGAATTTAACATCGAGAAGGTAAAAAAAAAAGAATGTCGTTCTTATATTTTCAACCTAATCCTTACGTTACGCTATGTGCATCAAAGGCTAAACTTGTACGTCAAGAATCAATTAATATCGAAGCCGTTTTTCAACGTAAAATCAAACAAGCCGAAGTGCAAAAGAAAATGTACGAACAGTTTATTAGTTAAACGATTAAATAAATATGTATATTTACATTTACACAATCGATTAATTAATATTTTAGTGTGCAGTCAAATTTCATTAACAAATCGCGTCTCAAGGTACTTCAGGCACGTCAACAACAATTGGAAGAGATTTTTGCAGAATCTCGAAATAAGCTTCACGATATTTCGAAAGATAAAGCCAGTTACAAAGATTTGTTGAAAAATTTGATATTAGAGGTAAGAATTTTTTATGGATGATATTCTCTAATATTAGCAATCATTTCAATTGTATTATTATTCAGGGTCTCTTTCAACTAATGGATGAAAATGTCGATATAATTGCAAGGAAAGCGGACGTTGATCTAATAAATGCGGCCATAAAAGACGCAAGCAAGGATTACACTGAACAATCGAAATTACCAACCAATATTCGAATTGATTCTAAAGAACATTTGCCAGAATCAAGGTTAATTCATACATGTGAAATTTTTTTATCGTGATAATTTTGTATTAATTTAATTATGTATTTAGTGCTGGGGGTATCATCCTGACTGCTTATCACGGTCGTATAAGAGTAAATAATACACTGGAGGAAAGATTGTCTTTGGTTCAGGAAGAGGTAAATTTTTCGGGATCATTGGACGATGAAAAAAATCATGATTACATAAACTAAATATAATTTACTTTTTTAGTTGCTTCCCGAAATTCGCATATTGCTTTTTGGAGATTCTCCAAACAGGAAATTCTTTAATTAAAAGATAAATGATTCTGATTATTTATTAGTTTAATATTTATGTATTTGCAATGTTTGTAATAATTATGGGTGAAAATGCATCAAAGACCTTGGGATGGATAAGTGAATAATTAATTGACAATCCATAGATTGGATATATGTATGTATGATATCTATTTTTAAGCTAATATACATATAATATTTTACCTTTTATAATCTCTCATTCGTTAAATTAGTAATGTCAACCACTTGTTCAATACCAGGGTAAGGAGGAAGATTTAGCTCGAATTTTCTGTCCAATTCACTAAGAGTAAAAAAATATGAATCATTTACCCATCTTATCATTGAAAAAAAATCTCAATACTCACGGTGTGACAAACCGCCCTCCCAAGTAATGTATACCTTTGAATTGTTGAGCGCCCATTTTTGGCGCAGTCAAAGATATTAACATGGTTGGAATAAAACTGCGACCATCAATGTTTCCTTTTTAAGCGAGAAACGAACGATTAGTAATTATGTTCTTTTGTTACATTAAAACTGGCAAAAATCATACCTTTCTCTACATCCCAGGCGGAAGGAATATCCACTAATTTGTGATTATTGTATATTTATAAATTATTTGCAGGTGATAATAAGTAAAACCAATTATTATAATTAACTAACCTGATGCAATTGGGACATTAGTCTCCTTAAGTGTCTAATCAATGCCATTTAAAAAATATTCTTTTATTCGATACATATATAACGTGTATAATGTTATAATTAATTACTTGAATTACTTCTCCGAACGGGGTACGTATCTCACCAGAAAAACTGAATCCTAAGATTTTGATCATAGAAAAGTTAAATTTCAAATTATTCGTTAATGTAAATCGTCATTATTTCATTACCAAATATAGCATCAAGCACTAAATCCGTATTATTCAACAGTTGCTTGTTTAATTCATTTACGAAAGGTATTTTGAGATTATTGCATTGCGTGGCTAAACGCTATTGTTTAATCGTACGCGTGATTAAATGTGAATTTTTAGTTAAAATTAAAAAACATAAATAATTCAGAACCTGAAATAAGTCCTTTTTACTTTGCTTTGGATAGAAAATACTCGGTCTATATCCAAAATGGGATAAATGTCGCGCTGCCACGAGACCTTTTATATAGTTGCATATCATTTATCATCATATGCGAGATTTAGGGTAATCTGATGTTAATAAAAACACGAAATACACACACCATCGCCTCCATTATTTCCAGGTCCACAACAAACTAAAATACGTGAATATGATTCTTTTGAATAAACCTTGGCGACAGCTTGTGCCACACTAAATCCTGCTAGCTCCATAAGCTTTTTCGAAAATATTATGATAAGATGAAATAATATAACACGCGCTTTTATGATTAGAATATACGCATATTACTTGATCTATCGAAAATCCTCCAGCCTGAGACATTAATTCTTCATCGATGATTTGCGCTACGCGTTGAGAAAGATACTGCAATTTTACGTAGGGCATAGGATAAGATGGATAGCATGAAGAGCAAAAAATCTTGTTTGTAAATACCTTCATTGACATTATTAAATCTAAAACGTTTAGACTAAGAGATACTCGTGTATCAAAAGATGATGCATCTTCACTCTAACATGATAATCATCCCTGATTTAGACTAAAGACACCAATAAGGATCTGCACACAAATTTCACTCATTTGATATCGTAATCTTTATGTGAAACTTTCGCAGTGTGACCACCACAAGCTAAGTGTAATATTTATAGACTATATACGTTAAATGACGTACTCTACTTTTGTCAAAGTAAAATTTGATTATCTTCATATTTCCTTCCAAAAAGTGCTTGCAGAATTCAACATAGATGTCGATATTAAAAGAAGGAACCAATCAACAACATAAAAAGAATTTTATAACTACTCGACAAATTTATAACAACTACATATATTACAAAACAGCAGTCTTTATTTTGTTTTTTTCGTTAATTATTTATAATTTCCGCTCGTTTAATTTGTCAAATTCAACAACGGCACCTTGTGTAATTGAGACCAAGCCACGGGAAAACCCGCTTGTTGTCTGGGTTAAACACCCACAGCACTCGGATGCTGTGAAGGTTTACGTCCCACAAAACGCTGACGTACACGACGTAAAAAAGTTTGTACGCCAAGAACTCGCTCCTGCGCTTGACAAGGAAGGCTTGGGCAAGGTGTTGTTGTTGAGTTATACACGTGGAAAATTAGCTCCTGATACTCCAATTAAGAATCTATTGGATAAACAGGAGCAGCTTATCGTTTTTGTTGATAATACAGGTAATTCTTATATATTTTTTTTGTTAGGAGAAATGAATTCGTTCATTATTCAAATGCTAATATAATGAATTTGATTGATTTATTATTAAGATTCGAGATTATATCTGAAAACGCTCACCACCGAGCAAGTTCCTTTACAAGTAAATGCGCCACTATGTCTAAAGTCAGATAAAGCGTATGTTGTTCTCGCAAAGATACTTTTGGGTCAGAATTCTGCAAAAGATATAATTGCTTTCAAGGAAAATTTGTGCGACTCGAGCATTGAAAGTTGGAGTTCGCGTTATTCTTATACATTCAAAGAAGGCCGGTGAGTAAATACAAGTCATCATCTACTAATAAAGGTTTGATTATAAATTTTTATTCATTTGCTTAGCTCGATTCAACAAGGTAAAAATCAAAGATGATGAATAGTGATCTAAAAAGAAGGGTCATTATCCATTATTTATTTTCATTATTGCGTGAAGAAAAAGAATTGTTTTTATCTCGCAATTATTCTCATCATGATTATCATTTAAATAAAATAAGAATTTCTTAATATTTGTTTCTCGGGATGAATTATTGCCAGTTTACATCGTCTCCATTATTTAATTTATTCATAAATGCTGAATTTTAAATTTTGTCAGCGTATGACAATATTAATTCCTTTCCAATCAATCTGTAGTTATACCATTTTTCTGTTATCATTCCTATGCTTCCTATTGTTGTTTTTACTTGTTTTTATCGTCGTTATTATCATCACTGGTTAGTAGATTTGTCTTTATTCCGATAAAGCTTTAAATCAATAACATCGAATTTCTATATTCTATATTTGCAGCTAAGAGACTATTTAAAGATGAAAAAGTTCCATTTTTGATAGATCTGCAAGTGCTCCGAATTTTAGGTTCCACATGCTGTAGCAAAGTCACATCTCTTTACTAGACATGACTTTTTTGGTTAATAAACTTTTCCTTGTGAAAAAACGTGATTTCACTATGTGATCTACCTGTATTTTTCCGGTTATTTTCCGACGCATTGGCTTTTTTTCATAAATCGCCTTCGAGGAATTCTAACTGGAAGAGAACAAGCTTTATTATTTATCAATAGATTACTAAACCATCATTCGCCAATGTCGGATTTTAGCTCCGAAATCTCGTGATTACAGTTTGTCGTACAGATCACGGAGCCTAAAAGGTAAACAATTTTGGAATTACTTATTTTTCTATTACACGTCGAATATTTTTACTCTCCAACACCTTCTCTACATTGGCGTAACCTACAGAAGAAAATGCAGATAAAAAAATCAACAAAACCTGCACCCAAAGCAAAAGCCAACAACAGCAATAACAACACAACAACAAAGTTGCCGTCAACAAAGCCGCCAAACGGACGGTCGGTAGTCACGACAGTAGCAACTTCAACAGCAGCAACACCACCACTTCCACACCCAATACCGATAACAAGCAATAATAGTGATAACTCGTCACAAATCACGAGCGGGTTTGCGACAGGCCAGCATTCAATAAGAGTGGACATCCTAAAAATAAAAGGACAATTGAATGATGCACTGGGGGATAGTGCCACTACTTATTGGTCGTTGATCAAAAATTATATGGCTGGTCGGAGTTCGCGGCAGGCCTTGGAGGAATCTTTGCGGCCGATACTGTTTTCCCAACAAACATGTAGGCTATTGACATTTGGTTTCTATATTTCTTGCAATAATCAATCGGGAAATATCAAAGGAAACTGTCAAATGATTCAAATTATCTAATCTTTTTTTTTTGAATTTTAGTGAAGTTGCACAATGAATTTTTGATCGGGCTAACATACAACGCATATAATGCTGATGGGCCGCCAGCTGTCGAGGTGGATGAATCAGAGACGAGAAGAAAGAAGCATGGGAGGGATGAGGAAAATTCAAAAGGCGGGGATGATGAAGGACCACAAAGGAAGAGGAAGAAGATAAAGGAGCTGGTGATGTCGTTGGGAAGTGATGAAAGAAAAAGGATAAAAGACATACCGAAGGTAGAATAATGCATCGTCATCATTAATTTATATTTTGAAATAATAATATCTTGCAATTCGTTAAACAGGATCCCAGCAAAGATATAAAAAATTTCACGAGTACATTTCCTAGTAGCCTGGATACCATGCAGGCTCCATTACCATCACCACCATTGATACCAGTAAATCATCCGCCATTTACATTTCCAGAATTAAAGCTAGGGCATCAGGGTATGAGATTAACCGCAAACTTTTAAATTTTATTTGATCCATCCATTCATATGCTAATAAAATGAATTTTTCTAAAAGTCCATTCATATCCTCCGTCATGTGTGGAAACTCTCAGTCTTCCAACACGAGATAATTTGAAAGCACGCTTGCAGCAGGCAACGTTGCGAAATAATCAAAATCCAGAGATACCGGAAGATTGCGTTGAATTATTGAATTATGGACTGGAGGTGAATGTCAGAACTTAAATATTTTTCCTCTTATGAAATGATAAACTAATAGCTAGAAAAATATTCAATTTATGTTGCGTTTTTAGACGCATATCAAAACGATAATAGCGGAAGTTCTAAAGAAAACTCGAACAGGCGGAACACTCGGACTTCAAACATCACATACGCGTAATAGCACGAACCGAGTTCGAACAATAACACCAAAGGATCTCGCATTCACATTCAACATGTCGCCGGATCTTTTGGTCCAAGAATCACAAGCACGCGAAAAACTTACGGCAGTTGTGCTTCGGGAAGGACATTACGACGAGGATAATGATGAAGAATTTGAAGAGGAGGAAACATAATTTGAAAGAATTTCTGCACTTGAAGAAAAAAAGACATTTTCAATTAGCATCATCATCATAATCATCATCATAATCATCATTATCATAATCTTCATCATCTTCATCATCATAATTAATTGAGCTGAACTTACAAAAAATACGGATTAATTAGATTACGCGAAACTTTATTCGCAATTAGACGTTTTATTAATGCATTCACATCATTTTTTTTCGGGGAATAATACCACGGACATTTATTTTCAGTGATCAACAACAATTTTTTTGTTGTTTACTATGGTCCAAAGACTTTTTAATTATTTGGTGTTTAATGGAGGAGGAATGACAAGTGGTAATTTACCTCGAACTTGTAAATAGTCAATTTTTTCATTTGTAATTAAAAAACACATACACAAAAAATACGACGTAATCGACACACACAAAATTATTTTGTGTGCCATTATCCATCTGCCTTCTTATATTCAAATTCTTTTATTGCTATGATTATCATTTACCACTTTAATTATTATAATCTCTTCAAATCCTTCGCTTTATTACCACAAACTTCTTTTTCCTATATACATGGATTTTTTATCACTAGTTGATTAAGGAATCACTCTTCTTTGGACTCTTTATTGTCACTACTACTTTTCAATAACGTTATATTTGCTCTTTTCCGCGGAATTGGCTCTTGATTTCAACAATATCTATCATTTTAGTAACCGACTCTTAGATATTTTCTTCTTTTCCGCAACTCGATCATTCTCTCGGTGGCTCCTAGCAGTGCTATGACCAGGATCTTTATGAGATAATCCTCATCAGTGGACCCTACAATTACTATCGCGAATCTCGTTGAATTGGATCATATTTAGTTTTTTATCCGCGGCTTGCATCATCGATTTTAATGCTGAACATCACATTTCCGCGAATTCTTGATTCTCTATCTAATTTCAGAATATGAATTTAAAAAGTAGTGGTTATTAGTTCTTTCTGCTGTATTTATAATCTAGTTAATTAGTAGGTAGTTAATTAATAATGTTATAGTGTATCAGAAAAAGCTATATGTTCTAGCAAAAAATTCTCCACTATATCGAAAATTTATTAGTAAATCTACTATATCGATATCGAGCGGATTTTATTGAATATTACAGTCAGACCTCACTAAGTGCACGTTCTATAAATGCATGGATTGTATAAATTCTCTCTAAATGCACGGTATAGCTTGGTCCCAGCTTATAAGAGCTCTATGCATTTTGCTCTCTATAAATGCACACCCTCTCTAAATGCACTTTTTATATTTTTTTCACTATGGTCCCGAGGGGGGTGCACTTAGGGAGGTCTGACTGTATCCACGGGGGTACACTATAAAGAAAGTCACTGTGTATATATATATATTTTTATCGATCGACTTTGATAGATATGAAATAAAAGGTATCTTTCGGAGTGTACATTTAGAGATTCATTTACCTCATGTGATCCGATTTGACTTGGTAAATTTATGATGAAACGATTTGACTTGGTAAATAAATGAAATTCCGTGAAGATGAAACAATGTTATGGTATTTTATACCTTACGCGCTTTATTCTTAAAAAAATATAAATATGGGTCCTTTTATGGTTCAACTTCTGCAAACTTTGAATTTCATCTATCAACCGTAAAAGTAACAACATGACTACTATTGAAATCCCCGAAGCATATGGTTATGTAGGTATATTGCGATTTCTATTTCCCATTCATAGGAAATAGTGTCGCTTGACTATAATATTTTTTTTTGTCTCCTCGGATTAAATTAAATTTTCTCTCTTCATAATATATATAGGTCGTTATGACAGGAGCCCTCTCAGTACTAGTCACCACCTTCTTGGGAATCCAAGTAACACTCTATCGAAACGAGGCTAAAGTTCCTCTTCCTTTTCGTCAGTATAATTATTTCTTTCTAGAATGATGAAAGGAATTGAACGTGCTTGTTTTATCACCCATTCATTGTATAATTGTTAATTTGATTAGTTTATGCCGAAAAAAGCGAAGTTGAAAAAGACGAGAAAAAGATGATATTTAATTGTTATCAGCGAGCTCATCAGGTTTTTCCTTATATTTTTAAAACTGAACGTAAAAAACTCGAAGCTTACGGCGGATACTAATAATCATCTTATTATTCAAGTAGAATTCTCTGGAAACTCAACCACAAGTTTTATTCATGTGAGTCATTTAATTCCGAGTTCGAACTTCATTACTATATATATTAACGTTAAATTGATTTTTACTAGGCTTGCTATGACTGGTCTCAAATATCCCCTTTTTGCATCAGGTGTAGGCTTAGTCTGGGTAATTGGTCGTATTTTTTTCGCGAGTGGCTACCAGACTGGTCGGCCTGCTAATAGATCGCGTGGCGGATTTGGCCATTTTGCCTATTTCACGTTGATTGGCTCGACGATTGTAACTGCATTTTCTATTTTATTTTATTAACATATTGTAATTTAGTAACATAAATAGAAAACCTGTTTTTAATTAATTTATTCGTTTAATAAGATAAGGATGTAACACATTTAATAATTAATTCGTTAATGGGTCAAGTTTTTCGTTATTACATTGATTTTAATTAGTATACTTTAAAATAGTCAAATATCGATATATATAAGATTTGCATCAATAAAATCATGTGGTTCCAAAATCTTACCCATCCAATTACCAGTCAAAGTCGATTAGTTGATGTCTGGTGTAACATTCTATATTTAGTAATATCTAACGCTAACTGTAGCGCTAAAAATTGGCCAGTCAATTTTTCGACTTAATCAGTTAATTATTAGTATCAACGAAAATTATAAATTTAATAACAGCATTCTTTATAATTACTATATACATGTATATTAGCTTCCTTTTTTTTAGTATGTTGTATTAAAAATCAGCTGAGCCGATTTTTTCAAAATCAACCGACTAGGCCGAAAATCGACTTTGGTATCACTACAAAAATATCCCATAATTTTATATCCGAAGATCTACATATTACAAAAATTCTATATAAATATCAAAGTCCAGCTAATATAGATGTCCTCTTCGGAGTGACACTTATTAAAATTGGAACGATACAGAGAAGATTAGCATGGCCCCTGCACAAGGATGACACGTTCAATCTTGAGTGGATAGTTCCTACGGGAACACAATTTTTTTTTGACTTTTTATAAAAAAATTGGTGTTGTTAATAGAGCAGCATTTTTTCTCCGCTCCGGAGTGGAACAAAACCTGAAACAATGAACCCGGGCACTTTTTAAATTATTAATCATTTCATATTCCCAGTTTCGAATTTCCATTCACTGAAAAATTCCGCGAATCAACGATACGCGTCTTTATTCTTTAAAAAAAATATTCTGCAAATGGCCACTATACAAATCTCAAACGAATATGGATCCCATTCATAGGAAATAGCTGCTTGACTATTATCCCTTCGGATTAAAATTAGTTTTTCTCTTATTATAGGTTGTTATGACTGGAGGTTTCTCAATATTAGTCATTTTCTTCCTGGGAAGCCAAGTAACAGCCTTTCGAAAAAAGGCTGAAGTTCCTCTTCCTTTTCGTTAGTATGTTCATTTATTTCTAAGATGAGGAAGAGATTAAGCGCGTTTTCTTTATTATTCATTCATTAGCTTATTAATAAATCTTTATACAATACTAATTTGATTAGTTTATGCCGAAAAAGCGAAGCTGAGAAAGACGAAAAAATTCGCTAGAAACTCACCCACACGGTTTATATATGTGAGTCATTTAATTTCCGAGTTCGAATTTTACTACTTTATATTAAATTTATTTTACTGGATTTATTAGGCTCGCTATCAGTGCAGGTTTAATCTGAATAGTTGGTCGTATTTTTTACGCGCGTGGTTACCAGACAGATCGGCCTGAAAATAGAGTTTGGCCATTTAGGCTATTTCATGTTGGTTGGATCAACAATTGCAACCGCGTTAAATCTTTTAATTTAAAATCTCTTGTATTTATTTTATAAACTTCATCAACATTAATTGATAGAACTTGATAGAATAAAATGGAAACCCTGTTTTATTTGTAGTTGAGATAGACTAATAGAATAAAAAAAATGCAATATCGAATTATCTACACGTGGTAAGGAAAATATAAAATGTGAGCAATAGCGCAAACATTATTTTTTATTAATCAAGGATTTCGGTAATCACACCTAATAAATAATAGTTTGGATTTTACAGTTTAAATTACTGAAAGAAACTTTGAGTTAAATAAAACAAAAGTACAGTAATAACTACTACTCACCAGTACCAACAGTCTTCCCACCTTCTCGAATCGTGAAACGCAAACCAGTTTCAACGGCCATATCATGCTGCAGTTCACATTTAAGCATGACATTATCACCCGGCATCACCATTTTCTCTTCTGGTTTTTCTGTCCCATCTGGATACGTGAGGTGCACAGTGACATCCGATGTTCGGAAAAACATTTGTGGTCGATAGTTTTCAACAAACGGAGTGTGTCGTCCGCCTTCTTCTTTAGTCAACACGTATAATTGGGCCAAAAATTTTTTGTGTGATTTTACAGTTCCAGGAGCGCAAAGTACTTGTCCTCGACGTACTTGTTCACGTTTTATACCGCGTAATAAAGCGCCCATATTATCACCAGCCATGCCTCGATCAAGTTCTTTGTGAAACATTTCGACACCGGTAAGCGTGGTTTTGATTGGCGAGCCCATTCCGACAATTTCTACTTCTTGACCTTTGACACACGTTCCTCTTTCCACTCGACCAGTCGCGACAGTACCGCGACCAGAAATGGAAAATACATCTAATGAATTAATTAATACATTAGTTGAATATAATTAATATCCAACACATTAACAACAACGCATAATCATCATCAATACCTTCAACAGCCATCAAAAACGGTTTATCCAAATCTCGAACAGGAGTTGGGATATGTGTATCAACGGCATCCATCAACTTCCATATCGCCTGTTCGCCAATTTCCGGATCACGACCTTCCAAAGCAGCAAGCGCCGAACCCTGCACAATCGGCGTATTCTCACTATCGAAACCATACTGTCCCAATAAATCACGCATTTCCATCTCGACAAGTTCCAACATTTCTGGGTCATCAATCGCGTCGACTTTATTTATAAATACGACAAGCGATGAGACACCGACTTGGCGAGCAAGCAATAAATGTTCACGAGTTTGAGGCATTTGCCCGTCTGTAGCAGATACGACGATAATTGCCCCGTCCATCTATAATTATTTAATTATTTAATTATCAGGCTATAGGAGTTTGATGTTTAAATAATGTATTAATATACCTGTGCAGCACCAGTAATCATATTTTTAATATAATCAGCATGCCCGGGACAATCGACATGCGCGTAATGCCTTGGATTTGTTTCATATTCAACATGAGCCGTGGCAATAGTAATTCCTCTTGCTTTCTCTTCAGGAGCTTTATCAATTTCACTATAATCTTTAAATTGAGCTTGACCTTTAGCAGCTAAACACTTTGTTATCGCGGCTGTCAACGTTGTTTTCCCGTGATCCACGTGTCCAATGGTGCCAATATTAACGTGTGGTTTACCCCGTTGAAATTTCACTGATTCCGTGGCATAATATCGTGTGACTAAATTATCATAATAATAGTTATTATTGTTATACTAAGATAGTAAATGTTATACTAGCTAAGATAGTAAATGTAATAATAACATGACTAAGAATAATGATAAAAACCAACCTAACCCATGTTTGTTCAAATTTATCCATATCGAGGAACCATTATGGATCTGTGGTGAATAATTATGTATGTGGCGAGCGGTGGCAGCAGCGGCCTATACGAAATCAAGGCATGAATTGACCAAAATTCAATCTGGATCATTGACCATAATAAAAAATAATGTTTCGCTAAATCAACGTATCGCTCAGCGTGCATAAAAATTTCGCCGCCGAGTAGTAGAAAAAAATAAAAATATCATTCAAATAAAATAAAATAAAATAACATTCTTATTATTACACGATAATCAGATTTTTTTATTTTTTTTTTAATTTTCTAAAGGTGAGTCATTTTCTAAGGGTGAGTCGTAGAAGTAAGTAGCAAATAAACTTACCCCATTTATATTGTTATTGACCGGAATTAACACGCCAAACACTTTATATTTATATATATTAAGAGTATGTTTCTTTGCTTAGAACTATATAACACCACCGTAACAAAAAATTTCAAAGTTTACACAAAATGTAATAATTTCAAGTTTTTCATACTTCCAGTTCAACTTACACCGACTTATAGTAGTAGTAGTAGTAGCATTCAAGCATCTTTTGGTGAAGCGAGTGCGTAAGCCAGACCCAGATAATCGAATAGCAACACTTTTCAAAGACAACATTTGCATTTGTATAAAACAATCAATAAACAGATGGACCTCAAATAAAACACGAACTTTTTCTACTATGACTCATTAGATCTGACGTTTCTGGAAAATCATGTAATTCTGCAGAAATTACTTCAACCTCACATAGTTATATATCGATATTAATATACAGCAGAGCATTTCACCTAAACGCTACAATTCTACAAAAAGTAAAAGCATTTTTAACCAGAAAGAAATGGATTCCGGAGAAGAAATAAAACCTTATACGATTATTTCAGATTTCGATGAAGAGGAGTATAGCAGCGTGTCATGGGTTACTTCTGCTACAGATTTGAAACCTGAAGATATAACTGACGATGTTGACTCTGAAGAAATTGTGTCTAGTTCTGTATTTAACGACCTGAGCGAGTCCATGTTCTCTGTTAGTGTGTTGCTTCTTTATTTCTCAAAGTCTTTAAAGCATATTTTGTTTGTCAAATCTTGAATTATTTAACCTATATAATAATTGTTTAATAAAAAGACTGTCCCAGCTCCATTTCCACCACCTAAAATTAATGAACAGGATACACAGGAGCACTCAACACATCAATACACGCCATCCGTTGAAATCCCAGCAGCCTATCCTATGGTGATAACAGTCACCGACGCAAAAAAAGAGCTTGATGGCACCAAAGACGCTTTCATTTCATATTTGATAACTACAAAGGTAGTTATTATGTCGTAATTTAAAAATTAAATCCATTGTTTGCTTCATAATGACGAATACAAATCAAAAGTACTATAATAAAATATTATTGACAATAATTTTATTTAGACGACTCTGGAAACTTTTACTGCTTCAACAGTCGGCGTCAGACGAAGGTTTCAGGATTTCGTTTTACTGCATAATGCCCTAACGAGAGATTTCGCGGCGTGCGTTGTTCCTCCGTTGCCTGATAAACATCGATTAGGTAGAGAAGATGCAACTTTATTAACCAAATTTTTGGTAATTTGATATTCATGATAATATTCCTTCTTTAGAATACATAACTGGTGATAGATTTGGGCCAGAATTTGTCGAAAAACGCAGAGCAAGGTAAAAAAGCTAATTCTTCATAAATTTTTATTAAAATAGAATTAATTTATTTATGGATTTCAATTTGAACTGCATGTAACAGTCTGCAAAGAATGTTGGAAAGATTGGCTCGGCACCCAAGTCTGCAAAAAAGCGAATACTTTAGAATCTTTCTGGAATCCAGAGAATGGGTGTGTACCTGAAAATACTCTTGCAATAATACCAAATCTTAATTAAATCAGTTTACGTTAATAACATTCTTATACGAAAAAACTTAGAATAATGAGTCTTTAAATAGACAGAAAAAAGGTGATGGTGTTTTAGAAAATCTAGGTGACGCTCTTTTGAACGCTTTCTCGAAAATAAAGAAACCAGATGATCGATTTATTGATATGCGAGAAAACGTTGATAAGCTCGAAGAAAATTTAGAGACTGTCGAAAGACTATATCAGAAAATAATAAAAAGGCAAACAGGCAAGCAAGCAATATTTTTTATCTCTCTGAAAACCCAAAATCTTTCATCACTATTTATCTACCACCATTACAATAAGAATATATTTCTCATTTTTATGTGCTAGACCTGGAAGCAGATTACATCGAATTCGGATCAAGCATCGCTGGTCTAGGACAACTCGAGACAGGAATCCAAGAACCACTAGAAAGATTCGGTAAGACGATCGCAGAGTTTTCCGATGCATGGAAAAAAATGGTTTGCCAATCTTTCACAAATAAATGTTTGTGTGCGTGTGTTACCTTCTTATATTGGTAGTATATATACATACTCTTTTACACTCTTTATTCTCGTCACTCAGACGGAGCGAGAGGAACAAGAATATATGACCCAGATTAGGGATTTTTTGAATTATTGTCATTGCGTTAAGGTGGGTGAGGTATTCTGGTATTAATTGGGAGTGTCTGCTTTTTGTACATAATCCACATCACCACCACCGAAAAATTAATATACTTATTGGGATATGAATTAATTGAAGAATGTACTAAAACTACGGGATCAAAAACAAGTGGATTTTGAAGCGTTGTCGGATTACCTGCAAAGCGCCACGATAGAACACGAAAATTTACTAAGTACGGGCAAGTCGTCCACAGGATTCTCGGCTTATGTGCGTGAAAAAGTCGATAATATAAAAGGAGTGGATCATGAGCAGGTCAAAAAAGAAAGACTTGCAAAATTAGAAACAAAAATCACCGAGGTGAGATTAATATCATCGTTTCATTTCTGTTGGCATTTATATATACTAAATCTTCTGACTGTTTTTTTATACGGGATCCATCATCAGCTTAAAGAAGAGGTTGAAAGCAGCAATGATATTTCGAATGCATTTTCTAATGAAGTTGGAAAAGAATATGAAGTATTTCAGATTGCAAAAAATGCCGAGTTGAAGGAGTGCTTACTTGCATACACCGATAGTCACGTGGAATTTTATAAACAGGTTTTTTTTATATTATTATATACTCACTACCGCATCGTCAAAAAATAGTCGATATGCCTTTTGGTGTAATAATAATATTGATAATTTTCTTTTTTTCCTCTAATCATAGGGGATTAATCTTTGGGAAGAAATTATTCCCATGTTAGAAAAGGTCTAATTATTAAAGGGCATAAAGTCTAAAAAGGGACACTTTTTTATGCATATATATATATATATCTCGATATATGCTCGCATTTATAGATATCTCGTACCACCTAATTAACATATTTATTACACCATTATTGACCAATCATAAATCATGTAATAAAATTTAATTCATGCGTCATCAATGGTCGACGATCTTAAAAATACAGAACCATACAATGAATATTGATATAATGAAATTGAAAATCCGACCCAAAAATTAACATAAACAAACTCGCGATACTCTCCTCACGCACCTTTTGAATAAGTCGCTTGGTACATTTGCATTTCAATAAATAAAATATAATCGTTACACTAGCAAACAAAAACATGTCGACCACTGAAAAAACATCGGAAAGGAGTTCTCGTGCTCGTGGTGCGGAGAATACAGCTCCAAATCCTGCTACTACGACCACTACAGGCTCTAACGAAGAGTCTCCTGCTAAAAGTCGGGTGTGTATTTGTTGAGAGGGAGAGTTAATCCTCCACTAAATCTATTTATGGAGAAACACGGGAAAATTTCACATTAAAAGACACGCGAAAAAACAAACAATTTTTTTGTCGCTTGTGTTATACGGAAAACGATCTTATGAAAATTTAATTTGCGTTTCGTGTAGAGTAAGAAAAGTGCAACTAAGGCTGCCAAGGCGGTTACTGCTACATCAAAAACATCCAAGAGTGTAAAAGCAGGTAATAAAGAAAATCGGCTTCGTATTCACGTCAAATATCCATCATTTATTCATGCTCCTTTATATATTAATTAATTATTGGATCTAAACATTATCATCATTTTTACAATACAATATCAGGTTTGACATTTCCTGTTGGTCGTATGGGGCGTCTCCTCAAAAAAGGACGTTACGCCGACAGAGTAGGAGCCGGAGCTCCTGTGTACCTCGCCGCAGTAATAGAATATCTCACGGCTGAAGTTCTCGAACTTGCCGGCAATGCTGCTCGTGACAACAAGAAACAACGAATCATTCCTCGACATTTGCAACTTGCCATACGAAACGACGAGGAACTTAATGTGTTGTTGAGGAATGTTCATATCGCGGAAGGTGGTGTGTTGCCAAATATTCATATGGAACTGTTGCCAAAGAAGAAGGGAGATGTCAAGACTGGTGGCGGTAGTACATCAACATCAGCAAAGAAACCAACTCCAAAGGGTGGCAAAACTTCATCTACTAAAGCTCCTGCTTCTAAATCTTGAATTGTCTTTATATATCCATCATCATCAATTATGTCCGTTTCAAAGAAATTGTTTCGCTCTAGAGAAATTATATATAAGTTAATCCTTAGAATAAATACCCGCCTACCCAGTCAGTTTCATTATCCTTTTTTTCAAGTTTATTAGTTTGAAATGATCTATTAGGGAATTCCTCGTGAATAATTATAATAGCGAAATTTTCATTTTTTACTTTTTCTCTTTTCCTTGCATGTGTCTACGATAAATTCATTCACTTGAGTTGTATTTGTACATCTTGCAATTCTTTTACGTGACATCTATCACACACCCTCTTAAATTCATTGCATTGTTCGATCGATTGTTGGTGTGGGTTTAGAAATTAAAGAAAAATGATTTAATAAAGACATTGAGTTTTTCTGTTTCTCGCGTTCTACTCTGATTATATATATACATGTCCCATGCGAACTTTATTTAAAATCATAAAACTTGAATATCAATCCCTTTATAAATAATAGATAACTATACATGCTAATTTAATATTTGTCACCCCTCCACAATTATTTAAATATCGATAAAAGCAGTAGGACGATTTTGTATTTAGCATCTAAAGGTAAGAGAGGAGTGCCATAACAACGAATGGCAGGACACTACCCGCACCTAAACTTAAGAGCTGATCCGAAAGGAGTACCATAACAACGAATGGCAGGAATGGCCGCAACACTACCCCATGGTACGAAGTTCCGGAGGGTATCGTACGCACAGTCTATTCCGTACCACTGCTCTTCTTGTTGGTCATTGTAACCCCTTCCATCACAGCATACAAGAGTTTTAGCGTTACCACCTACGTCAATAGTGTAAGCCACTGTATGGCCTGGACTCCCAATGATCGCTGAGTTTGCTTCGCAAATAGGTCCATTGGTAATAGGTGCAGCCCAGCAAGCACCTGTGCAAAATTGTTTAGTCAAGAAATCTACTCGTACCCCAGCGGACTCTGTTAACAGTAAAATGAGTACAGTGCCGGACATCAAAAGACATCCATTTCTAATTAATTTATGCATAGCTTTCATTTTATTTTTCAAGAAAATTGGTGAGAGGATTATCACGAGTATAGTTGCTGTCCAAATTAATTTGGGATTTGGGTGCACAAAAACTAGATTTAAAAAAGTATTCTTGAAATATTAGTTTGGGTTGGGACAGGAAAATTTCCTTTTTTGGGTTTGGACGACAACTATAATCACGAGATCATAATTTGATTGGCTGGCATCATTATAATTCGAGCTAATATGCTGGCATTAGATAATGCTGAGCCAGCTCATATAACGTAATTTTAATAAAGTGGGTATTAGTTTTCTTATTTGGCTAATAAGATGAGGAACGTGAGTCTTTTTTTTTAATTCTAATAAATATTATACTAGCAGAATGTTAGGAACTTGCGGAATTATCAGTTCATAGAAAGAAATTACGGATTAAGTGGTATTGATTTTATTTTGCGATGAGTGCTTTTATTTAGAATAATGGTCTATCAATGCTTTTTGTTGGTATTAACGATGTGATAAAAGCGAACAATAAAAAAATACATAATTAATGCGTTTAGACGTCTGATTTCCTTTATTTTGCATTTTTCATGATAAAACCTGGCAGATTTCTTCGATGTATTATTAAAATCTTTATCAGTTGATATAATCACCTGTTATGATATCTAATTATGATTGGCTGAAACAGATATTGCAGAAACTACTCCCTTCACGTGATTTTCCGATCTCTGACAATCTCGAAACCAATGAGAATGCGCAAATTTTTGATAAACCCGGCAAAACAAATCCGCACAAGAAAATGAATGATGCTTGAACCTCGATATATTATTTTACCAATTATGTAACGGTCATTTGAAATTGTGTTATGGAAATTGACAATAAAAAATGAGTTTTGCGATATTTGAGAAAATTCGCGTGTTTATTTCAGACAAGGCAAAATTTTCGCCATAAATTTTAAAATAATATTATATATAGTTTGTGTATATACTTAATATTACTAACGAACTCCAGAACATTACTATTACGATACGCTCCAATTATTATTAGTTTATGACTCGATCGATATACAGTAGTTCCTGACATGTCCACTGACCGATATTTGTTAATAAAAACAGCCTAACTTGCTTCGTTCCGGAAATTATATCATTTGATCTGCAGGAAAATGTGAAGTCACGTGATTTAAGAGCGCCATAATACCCGTGGAATAATTTTAATTGTGAGGTGATCACGTGGTTTATCTGGTAACCATTTTTTTTACTGTAATCTTAAAACAAATTAACGTGTATATTATTAAATATTCTATAATTGGATTTTCGTGTTTTTAAAAGCGCAATAGGAAAAATTATATTTTTATAAATATGATATGTGAATATGTATACATTGAAAAAGATAATTAACTATACCATAAAATTTACAGATTTCTCGATATGTAACGGTAGTCTCAGTATATCAAAACTTTGATATATCTCTTCCAAAAATGTATCGCTTTAAAGTAAATTATTAGAATATTAATAATAATGAAACCACACAAACCCATATTACCTAGAAATTATATCATACCTTTGTCCAATCCAAAGCAAGTAAAGCTCGAGTACGAAAAGAAACTTGCTCACTAAAGTAAACACTTCTCCACAAATAAACAGCAGTCCAGCCGCCCATCCAAGTCCAACCCATACCAAAATCTGCCACTGCAGCATTACCAATGTATGCTAATGACCCCAGATGAGCGTAATGGAAAGGTGGCAACACGTCATCTAAATCAGGCGAAGGATTTTCACGGTCTATATCCGCATTATCTGCAGGAATTATTTTTGTTTTTTCAGCAAGTGCCAATTTGTTTAATTTTCTGCCTAGATATTTTCCTGGAATGGAAAAAATAAAACATTAATATAAGCTAGTATGTAAAAATTTCTTGGATTTATTACCTTGTTGATGCGCTACTTGTGCAGTCTTAATAATATTATTTATTAAATTCAACAATTATATCAGGATTAAAAAAAATTCCAAGAAAAACGTAAACAACAATTAAAACTTACAGCTGGTAGCGAAGTTAATTTTTTATCAATATCTTGAAGCATCTCCCTTAATTCTTCAAAATCAAGACCACCTGTATGATATATAAAAGAACAAATCATTACTTTTTAAGAGATTATGCGTAGATACCTGAATGTAATTGAATATGATACCGCTTTTGTCTTTATCGTACTTCTTAAAGAGCTCGTTAGCTTTTTTTAAATGACTAGACGTAATTGGATAACGAGCGGAAATCTTGCTGGCCAACGCGCTAAATTCTTTATAATCTAAATATCCACTATTATCCTTGTCGGCATCAATGAAAAGTTGCACCAATTGTTTAACTAAACCTGGATTCTCAATAGTTGCACAATCACCAAGTGCATAGACTGTAGAGTCTGGAACACCTTTTAAACGCAATCGATTGTCGGTAATAAGTGCACGCGTATTTTTTTGTTCGTCAAGTTTTTCTGATATAGTTCTTGTCAACGGATTCATCGCTAAATTCGTTATAAATAAATTAATATTATAATTAAGAGCATAATGAAAATACGATAGAATAATCACCGATCCCAGTTGACCACAATGTTAATCCATAAGGAAGCTCTTTTTCTTCCCCAGTCCTTTTGTCTGTGTATACAATACAATTATCTTTTATTTTGGAAACTCGAGCATTTGTGATTACATTAATGTTGTCACGGCTGAATTTGCTCTAAATTGAACGGAAAAAGGATGTTTGGATAAACACTATTAGCTAACGCTTTTTACATTGAAAAGAACTTCTTATAAATTTATTGCATATATTTACTTCGACAAACACACTTATTTTCGCGTCATAACTGTTCAGTATATGATCCTGGCTCTGAATAATTGTAACCTTTACTTCTTTTCGGAGAACTACGGGGAACTGAATCAACATTAGTAATATTATATTTGATATAAGTACCAGTTTAGATGAGAAATTGCAACTCACATAGCTAACAAGATCCTCCGTCAGAAAATCATATAGTTCGCCAGCAAATTCAACACCTAATAAAGGATGTGTAAATGCTTAATCAGAAGACGAATATGTAATTGTAATAGTTAAAAGTCACACAACCAGTTGGACCTTATCATTATTGAATAGATAAAAAATATTAATAAAAATCTGTAGGAAATAAAAAATATTTACAATAAATAAAATAAATACCTCCACCACATACAACAAAACTCAAAAGTCTCTTTCTCTCTTCTGGTGGTGTACTTGGCAAAGACGCTTTTTCAAAATTATTCATAATAGTTCTCCGAAGTCTTCGAGCATCATTGATAGTTTTTAGAAAGTGACAATATTCTATTCCTTCAATCCCATGAGTCATTGATTGTGATCCAACAGCGATAACAAGCTATTTTAATAATATTAGGTAAATAATATGACAACCTCGATTTATAATAATGCTCAAATTAGAAAAACCTTATCATATGGAACATAGAAACGTTTATCAGGTTCATCGCTTCGTTTGACTTCTACTAATCTATTCTCAAAATCTATATCTACGGCCTTTGACTCTATAAAATGTCCACGAACTCTTTTTAATATACTGCGAATAGGTTCCAATAAGGATCTGTTTTCGATCATGAATTTATTCATAGTTGGCATCGCGTAATGTAATTAAAAATCAAAATTATCAAATTCTTATTTAACTATGTCAAAAATTTGAGAGATATGTCGCACCTACCTAGATTCAAGTGTTCCTACGCAAGATGAGGGTAAGAGAGGAGTAAACCTTAATCAAACGAAAAAAAACGAATATTACGATAACGAATAATTTAGAAAATAAAGATCTACCAAAAAACTAATAAAAAAAGAACACACACACCACTTACAAAAAATAATTCCTGAATTGTTCAAAAAAATTTAAACATCTCGATGCATTAAGAAAGAATAGAACAGCGAAAATTAAATAAAAAATACGCTGTGAATCACTCACTCTGGAGAGATTACTGTTACATAATATTGATCTTTTTCAAGTTCTTTCAAAATCGACACAGCCTATTTAGAAAAACAATATAACGACATTTTCATACTCAAAATTTCTTCTCATTTTATTAAAATTCATGATTTGGTTGAATTATATATTTCGCATACCCCCCAACCAGATCCTAATATCAATAGTCGTGGTTTATTAACCTCAAAGTCCAGTTCGTCAGTTAAATGTTGTGCAATAGGCAAATTTTTCGGGCCACCCGTCGGTCCACACGATATTAATTCTTTAATTTCATGTTTTTTCGCTTCAGCTTCGCTACTTCTATAGTCAAAAATCAAGAGAATTACTCCACCAACTATTGAAACTCCCATCACAATTAATAGCTTAAACCTTATTTTTTTGTTTTCGACTGGTAGTGAATGATTATTAGTAGTAGTAGTAGCTGCTGCTTCAATTATTTCATGTCTTTTAGAAACTCCAAATCTTGTTCTCGGAAAAACAGGTCTTAATGCGCGAAATGCAAAGTTTGGGCCTTTGAAAATTGAGCTAGTTGATAGTTCTTTGCGAAAAGTTTTTTGCCCAAGAAACAATAAGACATTACGACAGCCTAGAAAATGGCCAGGTTTAATTCCATTCTTTATATTTTGGATGCCAAACATATTTATGACTTTTATTTGCAATAAAGTAAATTTCGGGCTGTCGAATAACATAAAGGTGACTTAATAATACTAGAAATAAATATATACTTTTCTCACAGATCGTATCCAAAATGCATTTTTCACTTATTTTGGTATCGGTATTATTTCATCCATATAGAATTGCAGAATCGGGCGAAGAAAATGAAGAATACCAAGTAAAGTTCATGATAAGTCATGTTTATTATAAAAGCCATTAATTTTCAACAAGCGAAAAACCAACAAATTGATCACGAACGTAAGTTATTTATATTTTTTGTTTGTTTTCTTGATTAATTAATTATTAGATCAAAGCTGGATGAAGATTTTTCAATTATAATAATAATGAATTAGGGAAGAGAAAAATTCAATAGAATCAAATAAAAACAAATAAATTGGTCATTTTTAATTAGTCATTATAAATATATATAAAATATCAAAATTATTTCAAAACTAAATTTTATTAATTTGCTTATTTCACATCATATATTAATAATGAAAATATTTTATTCAATAATTAAAAATGTGAATAATATTAATAAACTTTTATTTAGAGTTATTATATATAAGATTTTAAAAAAACAGTAAAATTCACTTATCAAATTTATTAATTGAAATAGTAATAATATTATTTATTTTGATTAGAAATAATATAAAAACAATTTTTTTATAATTACTTTTATTAGTTATATTATATATAGTAACTAACAAAAATTATGGAATTACATGGGTGATTTTATTAATAAAACAGATTAAAAATTGAAATTTTTTCTTATATAAAGTTTTTAAATTTTGTTAAAAAATTTTTATAATAACTAAAAAGTCAGAAAAAATATATATTAAAATATAATTTATGGTATTTATTTTGCTATAAAAATAAAAATATTTATTAATAAAATTGAAAACTTTTATAATAATTAACAAAATTATGAAATTATATATATAATTTATTAATAAAATATAATAAAAATTAAAGATTATGTTATATTTTAACATATATTTTTTTCTGGCATTTTTAGATTTTATTTGACAAAGTTGTTCTAATTACAAAGTTATTATAAAAATTTTTATAATTAAAATGTAAAATTATTTATAAAAGTTTTTGTAATAACTTTGCAATTAAAATAACTTTGTCAGATTAAATCTAAAAAATTTTAAATTATAAACTTTATTTTAATATAAAAATAAAAAATATTTATTAATAAAATTGAAAACTTTTATATAAGACAAAAATTCAATTTTTATTAATAAAATTGCATATATAATTTTATAAAATCAATTATAATAAAATTATTATAATTTAATATAATAAATATTTAATATAATAATAAATTAAATTAAAATCAAGATTTATTTATAATAATTAAATTATATTATAAATATAAAAAATGATAAATATATCGAGAGAATTATATAATTAATATATTTAATTTAAAATAATAATAGATTAAAAATAGAAAAATAAGAAATAAAAAGAAAAAGAATTATTCTTGATTTAAATATATAATTAAAATGTTATTATAACTAATTTTATATAATTATATTTTTTATTTATATGTTTATTATATTAAATAGGTAACAATATATTTTAATTATAAAAAATTATATATAATTAAAACAATTTTATTAGATTAAATCTAAAAAATCTAAAATAATTTAGTAAAATTAAAAATTTTTAAAATAAAAAAAATATTACAATAAATAAAAGAGTATTATAATAAATAAAAAATATATATTTACAAATAAAAAAAGATAAAATATAATAATATTATTAATATATATTCAAGATTTGTATATATTTATATTTTAAAAATATATTGATAATTTCTTATAATATTAAAAATATTATAATACTTTTATTTATCAAAATATTCTTTTTATTTTATATAAATATTAAGAGATAATTCACATTTTATATTTTTATTATATTTTTTTAATAATTTTTTTATTGTTTCATTATTTTTTGATTGTTATTATAAATAAAAATTAATTATATTAAAATATAATATAATAATTAACAAAATTATGAAATTATATATATATTTTATTAATAAATATTTTTTATTTTTATATTAAAACAAAAATTATAAGTTATATTTTAATATATATTTTTCTGGATTTTTTTGACAAAGTTATTCTAATTACAAAGTTATTGCAAAAATTTTTTATAATTGATTTTATATTTTAATTATAAAAATTTTTTGCAATTTGAACAACTTTGTTAGAAAAATCTAAAGAATATATGTTAAGATATAATTTATGATTTTTGTTTTGATATAAAAATAAAAAATATTTATTAATAAAATTAAAAACTTATATAAGACAAAAATTTCAATTTTATTAATAAAATCACATGCATAATTTTATAATTCTGTTAGTCACTGTATATCTAGAAGTTTTTTTTAGTTTTACTTAATAAATATTTTTTATTTTGAAATAGTAAATTAAGAAATTTATTTTTTTATTTTTATTATAATTGAGATCTTACAGTTAGAAGTATTTATTGTTAATTTCTAAGAACTAACTAGCTAAAGATCAACTTTTGCTAAACTTTAAATTATATATTTAATAAAAAAATGTTTCACATTCTAAAAAAGAGAAATTTATATTATTGTCTTTAGTTTAATCCATTTCCTTTAACAGCACTACTTCCATCCCCTTTTCCAGATTCTTCTCTTTCATCAAGATAATTCGCCGCAGAAATGATAGCAGCCACGTGAGCAGAGAAGCAATTCTGCATAAACTTTTGTTCTATATCACGTGCATTCAATCTGAATGGCCCTTTCATGAGCACAGACGGCGACACGGTCTTAGTGAAAGGGGTGTATGCAAAGCTTTTAGCATCCCATTTTTCAGTGATTGGTGGGCGCTCAGGGAACGAGGCAATTTGTCTGTTGTTGAGTTTTTGTTGCATTGTGCGTTTTCGGTGTGGTCGATTATTATTATTACTGTGAAGTAAAGAGTATTTTTCTTGGAGACGTGAAGAGTAGGGTTTATTTTGCCAAGTTGGAAACGACGACGACGACGATCTCGTTTTATGATGACCATAGTAATCTTCTTCTTCGCTTGTCGAGTCGTTGTAGATACGAGACTTCGTCCCATGTTTTTGTGATCGGGTGAATGCACGTGTTGACCGCAAGGCAATTGCCTCATCGGTTAATATATCAGCAGGCAAGTCGAACTCGACTGGAGATGGGAAGAGTTTGTCAAAGTCTGGTAACGAAATACGAAAATTTGAGTTTTTAGTGTTATTGTCAAAGGTGGTGGTGTCTGGGGCAGGGTTAACAGCAGCTAGTGAAGTAGAAACTTCCATTTTTTAGTCTTTATAGATATCTTTCTTTTGTGGGTAGATAAAGATAACTTTAATCTAAATAATGTATAGCGTTCAGTATCAAGATGAAACAATCAAGTTTAATAACAATATCGATATCGATATGATGTAATAAAGTGCACACACCTTATATACACTTTATATACACTTCAAGTGCAGCAGGTGTGCGGAAGGATATGTGTGTGTTGGTGCGTTTGTAGGTGGTGTGCTTATTTATATAGATGATCTTCATGCTGCTAGCAATGGTCATCAAATTTCTTTTATAGTACTCGTTGATATAATAATAACAAAATAATGAGGTGGTTTGGTGAGTAGTCGCGGTAGCAGGTAATGATGTTTGATTATCTTCGGCTGTCTTCTGTCCGTCTTTGATATTTATTTTTATGTGATACTATAAAAATCAAATTAAAATAAACGAGAGTTCCGGTATCTTTCTATAAAAGATAAAAAACAATAATAAACACCAAAAACAATTATAGCGACAACGGACCACCTGTAAGCAAAGAAATATTAAAATAAAAGAAAGAGACGACATATCAGAAAATTTGTTTCGTTTTATGTAAAAACGTATCCTACGAAATTTGGCATCGGGTATATGTTATACGTGTAGTTCAAGTAATAGTCGTAGGCTGTGTTTCACCCAGCCGGGTGGGAAGGGAGTACAATAATACTTGTGAAATGACCCGGTGTGTTTTACGGTAACAATAATTAATATACGGCATAACCACACACTCAATTCACTACATCACTCGACTCTACTACCATCCTCAATACCCATATTTATACAAATGAAATATTATAAATTTTTGGCGAAGACCAGCGACCAAAAAAAAAATATTACAATAAAAAGGAGTGAAAGTTTTCTCTCGGAAAACGAAATAATGATTGTGTGTGTGTGTGTGTGTGTGTGTGTGTATAGTAATCGTACCAATAATTATATTTGAAATATATATATATGCGACGAAAACAATTAATCTAATAAAGGAAAAGAAGCAAGAACTCCTAGGAGAAAATTAAACAAGAATGAATGAGCAAGTAAAGTAAAAAGAATGACTAGACAAATAATAAAGATGCAACACAATGTTAATATCTATCTACATGCATTGATTTATTATTGATGGGCAAAAAGGTGTATTTTGGAAAGTAAAGTAATAATAATGGATTTTGTGTATTATAATTACCCTTAGGAGTAACTGTAAATGAAGGGGAGAGTTCCGTGAATGTCAGGTGACAGAATGATGGTAAACTTTTTTGTAAACAGAAAAATTACAAATATGTGTATTTGTGTGTATGTATCATGAAGAGGAACAATATTATACAGAAAAGAAACCGAAAAAGCAATATTTAATAAAAATTGTCGATAGATGCATGTAAATGATGACTGTTCGCACAAGCAAGTGTTCTACGGTCTCGGCGTATATGTCTCGACCGACAGCCACCACACACAACCAAACCGCACATTTTCTTATGTACACCCACACCAGAGATTTCAATTAAACAAATTAAAAAAATTAAGAAATTGTCAGAATAACAAGAGCGAATAATATTTTCATCCGTAATAGCCGCCTTGTCTATTAGATGATCTTCCTCTACTTCGCGATGCAGCACCATCATTAACTCCAGAGTACACTCCATAACCATCATTATCGTAATGATTCTGAGGATGTCCACGGGAAGAAGGATTTGGACTAAGACTTCTCGCTCTGTTAGGCATATCATCATAACATTGCCCTGTTGTTGCGTTTGTTCGATGCTGGGAATACTGGTCTATTTGTGATGATCTAGAGCTTGAATGTGGTTGGGCCTGTAGAAATGATGATGATGAAGTATTGCCATGATATTGTTTGGTATTACTTCGCTCCACATAACGTCCGGAATCATAACTGTTCGGTAAAGAAGATGTATTTCCATTCGATTGATATCCCATACGATTCGGCAGTGTAATAGGTTTTGCCGAAGATGACGATATCGTCGTCGTCGTTGCTGTGGTTGATTCAGATTCCCACAATCTAGGCTTTCGGGTTGTAGAATTATTAATATTGATTTGCAATGAATTTCCATAACCATTATTACTTCCACTACCACTATTAGTGCTGCTACTATTATTGTTATTATTACTAGAACCAGCAGACGCGTAAATATCTTTAAACGATTTCTTTGGATAAGACGGTTGCTCTTCATTTTTCTCGATTGAGCCTCTTTGCGAAGGAAGCGGTGATGTAGTTTTATCGGAACTTTTTCCAGACAAAAGTTCACCCCGCTTTTTCGGTCGAGAGTATTCTTCACTATATAACCAATCAGGAAGTTCACTTGATTTCTTTTCGTGATACTCACGAAGAATTCGTGAGATATGAGTTTCACCTTCCCATCCTTCTTTTTCGGATTCTTTTTTTTTTTTGAGGGGATAATGTCGATTCGTTAATTTATTTTTTTTTATTGTAGTCAATAATTTAACTTTTGGTACACTTACCATTGTCTGAATCTGCGGTCATATTAGATTTAAGTGTAGACGTAGCATTCAAAAGTTTATCCCAGAGCTTCGCTCCTTGGGTTCCTTGGGAAGGATTAGCACCTAAGTTTCACAATAAAAAAATTAATCTGTTTCATAATCTAATAATTACAAGAAAATCAAACAATTTTGGAAATTTGGTCAATGATGCAGTCTTTTCAGGAATTAAGCATACCTTCACTGACATCTTTCCAATTACGGACACCTCTCAATTTGTTCCATAATCCGTCATTGTTAGAATCATCTGTTGATCTCGCATCAGCATTAACAGAGTTCTGCGTATTATTTTCGGATAACTTGCCTTCGTTCTTTGCAGCTTTCAACTTTGCCCAACCATTTGTAGTTCCTCCACCAGACGATGACGACGAACCGGCTAACTTCTTTTTTGGTATCGGCGGTTTCTCCGTTGCATCTGAAGACGAAGTGCCACATTTGTGTCTTGCTGGGTAGAGACCAACATCCTGTCCACAATCCTTGCAAAGAACAACGAGTCTAGAGAGGCGGTAGTCGATCACTTCGGCAACCATCTTTTAACAGTATATATGGAGTTATTTGCAAGATTTTTTTTAATTTTAATCAGATTAATAATCAGAATAAAAATAAAAATGATTTTTAAAATATGGAGGCAAGTCAAAAAATGCTTTAAAATATCAAGGAAAGGAAGCGAGTCTATTATCGTGTTACTACGCAGAAGCGAGTTAATGAGCGAGTATTATTTTCTTGTTGGTCCAGCAACGACACAAGCTTTTACTTTATTATTATTCGTTGTAGTTGATGAAAGTAATAGCAGATAGATAATAAAGCACGCACACACACACACACAGACCAACGAAACGAATAAGCACTTGTTTTATTATTTTACAATCGGCAATTTTTCATTGTTTGCATATACCGATACATGTAGCAGTGCTGTCACTTGGACGTGAATCCAGCAATTTGATTGGTTGGGACAAGCGTCCCGACCAATCAAATTGCTGGATTCACGTCCAAGTGACAACACTGCATGTAGTAAAATCATGACCAAACGTTGTGTAACGTCTGCATTTAATTTTTCTGGGACAAGTTTGTAGATCAGTAAAGATTGATTTAATGATTAGCGTTAGTGCCTCAAACTAGATTTTTCATTTTCTCTGTGTCGGATTTGTTGTTTTGCCGGAACGATAAAGAATTTGGACTGATCTAAAATTTGCGGATTCTTATTGGTTTAAACTTGAGTGTTTATTCTCACACGGTTTCTTGTTTGATTTGCTAAAATAATTTATATTCATCATTTACAAACAAGTCACAATAGTTTCTATATAATTTACAGTAATGGCAACCAACTATCCCGCACCACCACCAAGCTACAGTGAAAGTCCTACTCCTCGTGAACCTTTACTAGCCAGAGAATGGGAACAGGATGTCCCAGACGACTTTAAGTATGGTGTCTCCGTTATGCAATGTGATGCTTCTATTCGTAACGGTGGGTTTAGTGTCATATGTCACATATAGTAAACTCATTCTGTTACTAAATTTTTGAACTATTACGATAATTTCCAAAAGCTTTTGTTGGCAAGGTGTATTCTATCTTGGGTGTTCAGTTGCTCTTTTCTATCGTCACGGGTGCTTTATTTATGTACAATGAGAGTGTAAAGAATTGGGTTCAAACAAAGTAACATGATTATTCTTTAAGTGTTTTTGATTTCTTTTAAAACGTGCACTTTGTGTGCGTACAAGAAAGATGATAGCATTCTAATACCATAAATATTACATTTCATCAAAAGTATGTGGTTGATGTGGGTATCGATCATTGGATCCTTTGTGTCCATCATCGCAGTGAATTTCAAAAGTCGCTCGTTCCCAACAAACTACATCTTGTTGGGAGCATTTACTTTCTTTGAAAGTTATATGGTTGGAGCTGCTTGTAAGTTGTTGATCTATAGTCGTTGGATATTTATTATAAAGATGATTTTCTTGATATTGACAATAATTAATCATTGTTTTTTACAGTGACCGTTTTCGACAAAGAAATGGTCTTGCAGGCATTGATTATCACCTTTGGAATTTTTATTGGCCTGACATTATTTACCTTGCAATCAAAATGGGATTTCAGCGGCATGGGACCTTTGTAAGCGATTTTTATGAGCTATTTATTTCGTAATGTTTCTCTATCTATACTCACCACAATACTTGCACTCCAAAAAAAATACAGCCTTCTCGGAGGCCTCCTACTATTCGTATGCATCGGCCTAGTCCAACTATTTATCCCGTTCTCGCGCATACTCGACTTGGTCATCGCAATCGGCATAGCAGTCCTCTTCTGCGGGTTCATCATTTATGACACGTATATGCTGATGAACACGCTTAGTCCTGAAGAGTATGTCGTTGCGGCGATTAATCTTTACCTCGATTTCCTTAATCTGTTCCTTGCCATCTTGAGGATTTTGAACGATGTTCGCGAGTGATGGTGTGTTAGTTACGAATGATGATGCTTAGCGAATATGTGAATCGTAATTGTGTTGATAACTAATTGAGTATTATTGTAAAGTAGTAATTTTTTATTTCTTAAAGGGTATATATATATATATATGGATAGTTAGTTACTTTGTTTTATAGTGAATAATAAATGTATTTTTTCCTAATCTCTATATTTATATTTGGTATGGTTTCTTTACAGAATTGAGGATTTGATAATATCCTCTTATTAATAAAGTTCCTGAAAAATATATTGTTTTTTCGAGAGACCTACCTGATCAGATTTTCTGTCGATCTTTAATTTTTGCTATGATATTTGAACTTGAGGAACTTCTATTGCGAGAATCGAAAAAAAATGACGATGCGAAATTCTCGAAACCATTTCATAATATCATTTATTACTTTACTATTATTACTTGTGCTTCATGTACAAGGATTATATGAAAATCAGGCAGGAATTAATGACTGGTATTCTTGTTTTCTATCTTAAAAACATTCTTTGCTTTGTGACACATTTTTGACCAATTTGCTTTTTCTTGCAGGCATAATAAATTTGTCGGTACTCCCAAAATTTCTTTATTTCGAGGGTCTTCTATTTTAGTAGCCACAGATCGTAATGTGCTTGCTTCTTTGAATGCACGCAATGGGAGTGTTGGTTAGTAATATCTTTTAGGGGTATAATTTCGTTCATAGGATATATCAAAATCAAGGAGTCAGAGTCAATCAGATTTTTATTTCAATTAAAAAGAGATCAACTCAGACAAGAAATTAATTTGTTGGATAAAGATTGATCGGATTCAACAGCAAAAAATTTGTGGCACTAAGAGTCAAAATTTAATAGGGATATGTGACTTCCGAGAACCTGTATTTAATGAAACAGAAAATTCAGTCAGTTTATTATTATTCTAATCACTTGGATACACCCGTTTATTGATAGAATGGCGTCAGGTTTTTGGCGATAATGAACCAATATTTATGTTGAAATCTCGTGAAACAAGTTAAGCATATATTTCATAGAATGAAATTTAGCCTGTATTAATTCAGTTTTCGATAAAAACCGACTTTAACTAACTAATTGCTGATTATCTGTTAATTTATTGTCTGAATTTTATTTTCTATGTAATAGATGCAGTGTCAATATCGAATAAAGATGGATATAATATTATTCGTTATTGGGCCGTGGAATCAGGATTCTTATTATGGGAACATAAAGTGGCCGAGAAGACGGGAAACAGCAATGATAATAGCAATGATCTGTGGCCTACAATAGATATTTTATTTGCAGTCGACAATTCTGCGATTTTTGTTCTTTTAGACGGTTCTGTTGTTTTGAAACTAACGACCAATGATGGCCAGCAACTTTGGAAAAAAACAATCAATGAAAACAGGTAAATTAGCCAATAATCATCACATGTTAGCTATAAGTACATTGTATGCTTAATCTATAATTAATTTTGCCGATTAATCTCACTCGAACAGTTCAAAAACCACCACATTTACTCGAATAGTGCAATATGGTGCGGCACTTCAAGCGGTGGGGCTCAAAACAACCAACAACAAATCATACGCTATCGAAGTTATCACATTAGACGCGACCATCGGCGACGTTTTGAAGACGATCATTCTATCTTCAAAAATTGAAGGTGCCAAAGATGTGATTGTTATTGGCGGAGAAACAAATAGTGGATATGTTGTTTGGAAGGAGGAACCAAACATGCGTGTTAATCGATTAGGAACAAAAGATATTGATGGAGCTCCATTGAAAGTATGTGTATGGGTTTTATCGATTTACGCGTCATATTAAGTTATGCATTCATTTTATTATTTTTTTTTTAACGTTATCTTTTTTTAAATTAGCCGCTTTACGGAGATGTTATTAATTCTTTTGCTAATGCTAATGGTCCTCTTGAAATAATAAATCTTAATCTGGGTCCACGAACAGAGTTTTTGTGTCAGGTACCAACAAAGATTGGTGCCGCCGCCGCCGTTTTCAAAATTGATCCTGAGGGAGATCGATTAGCTGTTCTTTATGAATTTGAAGACAGGGTAACCTTACAGTTTGCTTTGTTTATATCGTCGTTTCTATAAATATAAAATTTTTTTATTTTTCTTCATAAGCCCGGTAAATCCGTATATTCGGCAACTATCGATAAAAATAATCGGCTTATCGTGTCACGAAGTTCGACATCATCTAACGTATTATTTTTTCTGTAAAATTTTTTCGTATTAAGTGCTTATGTGATATTTGAGAGCTTAATAACATCATCGTGTGTGTCTTGTCTTCTTTTATTTCAGGACAGCATTAAAGTTGAAATTATTGCTCCTGCATCCAGAAGCGTTCTAGCAATTCATGATGTTCCTCATTTATACTTCGAATCCGGGACTATTCAAAAGGTACCGGATTATGGAGAATTCCTTAATCTAAAAAATAAGAGCGGTGTTAATTTCCAACACTAACTCAATATCTTTATTGATAAACAGTCTATTTTAAACGTCATCAATCGTCAAAAAGAAATAATAACTTATCGAATATTAAGTTTGTCGTCTGATGGATCCTTGTATTGTTGGAAAGATGGAACAGTTTCGTGGAAACGCGAGGAATCACTTGCGCATGCAATTCAAGCAGAATTTCTTGATCTGCCTGAACGGAAATTATGGTCTCAGGAAATCGATGAACTTGGTTTGTATTTATTGTAATTAAATTCTTGATCCTAAAAATACAGATATGTAACTCATTTTTTTTATTAATTAAAGCTGAACAAACAGAAGATGCTGAAACAATAACACCATTTCATCGTTACATCCGACGTCTCATCACTCATTTGTATCGACTTCAAGTAATTTTATTTCTATTTTGTTTCATGCTTGATCATTTGTTATGTTTTTTTTTTTTAGTTCGAGTCTCATTTCATTGTTATATTTCAGGATCTATCTTTATACATCGTCACATATATAAATCACCTTTTTACGGGAGATTATTCTTCACCTTCACTCTCATCTTCCCCTGATAACAATAAACAAGGTCTTTATCGCGACACGTTTGGTTTCCGGAAATTATTAATCTTTGTGACACCCAAAAAGTTGGTAGCATTGAATACGGCAAACAAAGGAGAAGTGGCGTGGTCTCGATATTTTGGTGATTATGATCTCACTCAAATTTTTATTGTTCGTACCGCGATGATAAAGTATCCTCCTGTACTTGTTGCCATTGGAATAGAAAGCAAGTTAGATGTAACTATAATCCCAGTTATATAAACATTATTGTTAGTTTGCCAATTAAAAGTGTATTTTATTTTGAATTTATAATAATTTTCTTTTTAGATTACACCATTCACTCACCTCTTTCGCATAAATGCTATAACCGGAAAGGATTTTGTTCCCGGTAGTAATAATGATGACTTGCCGTCCAGTCTCTCACTTTCCTTTATTCATAAAGAGGTTTATAAACTGCCAATTGAAGAACCGGAAGAGCGAACTCATGTACTTGCACTTGTTGATAAAGAATTGAAGGTATACAATTATTTATTTATAAGATGTAAACTAAATAGTGATGATAATTTTATTACTGAATACTTGTTTCTTCAGGTTTATCTATATCCAGAAACTCTGGGATCTCTTAAAGTGTTTAAAGATTTCGCATTATCATCGTCATTTTATTTCACTCTTATCGATCCTGTTGGTGGGAACCATTTGGCTGGATATCGTGTTAAATTATCACGAAGCAATTATACTGTAAGTTCTTTTGGCAACAGTATCGACTACTACCTCTATATAAAATATATTAATATGCGAATTGATTTCAGTCACCTTTTGAGAGTGATCTTTTATGGGCTATCAATTTCCCTGAAAATGAATCCATTGCTGCAATAGCCAAACGAAATCTTCATGGTATATAATATTTAATGATGATTCAATCAAATTCAGATTCCCTCAATTTATAAATCTTTAACTTTTCACAGAAAACGTTGCTTCACTTGGTCGAGTTTTGGGTGATCGCTCAGTCCTCTACAAATATCTCAATCCACATCTTGTCGCAATAGCAACATTTACAAATACTAAAGTTACGACATCCTCGCTAAATTTATATTTAATCGATGTTGTGAAAGGCACGATTTTGTATCATAGTGTACACGAAAATGTTGGATCATCTTACCCGGTTCATATTCTACAAATTGAGAATTATATTTTGTATTATTTCTGGAGTGAAGGTGAAGAGGGAAGAGCTTCTACGGAAAAAGGATTTATAACTGTTGTTTTTGATTTGTATGAAAGTGCGAATAAAGATGAAAGGGTAGACAGGTAAATATTAAGTCGTATTATTTTACATATAGATATTAAGCTTGATGATTTATGACTCTAATCCGGTGAAATTTTCTTTTTTTTTTTAGCCCAGCATTCTCTTCATTTGCACACGAACGTCCCCATGTCAGCGCCCAAGCATTCATTTTCCCATACGCCGTGAAAGCATTGGGCGTGACAACAACCAGACATGGGATTGCAACGCGAGAATTTTTATGTATTTTTTCCTTCATTATTTCTTAACTTTTATTTTTATGTTCACTCTAATCATTTTGACATTCATTATTATAGTTGCACTTGAAAGTGATCAATTATTTGGATTGTCAAAGCGTTTCCTTGATCCACGGAGACCACTAGGACCACTCACTAATGAAGATAAAGAAGAAATGCTTATTCCATATGAGCCTGCGTTACCAGACAGCAAACAGCTTATTTCGAGTTATAACCTAACGGTGAGTAAAAACTTTCTTCTGGCAAATTTGAAAATTTTTTTATAAAAATTATTCTATTTATTGATCGATTGATTGATTGAATAATAGGTTGCCGGCATTCAACACATAATCACCAACCCCTCTTTACTAGAATCCACATCACTAGTGCTAGCTTATGGACTCGACATATTTTTCACACGTGTAGCTCCTTCGAAAACTTTTGACGTGTTGAATGAAGATTTTAGCAAGAGTACTCTGTTGGTCACCATTTTTGGATTAGTATTGGGAATTATTATTACGCGTCCTATGGTGAGTTTTTCTTTCTTATTAATTTATAGAAAATGAATTTTAACTTGTTTTGAATTATAATGAATAGGTTCGTCGGAAGAACGTCAATGCTAGATGGTATTAGAATTCTGATAGATGTAATGATTTGTATGATTTGTGTATCATTTTCGAAAAAACGCATTTTTATCATCGCATTAATTTTAATAGAAATTTAAAGCTTGAAATTTCATTTTTTTTTCTGTTACAGTATTTACATTTATGGTATTTGATTTTTATTTTTGGCAGAACAGTAAAATAATTAAAGCTGGAATAGAGCCAAAATTCCTAAACTATTATGGTATAATTTATTTGACATTTTTCCGCCTACTACTAGGTCTAGAATTCTTTGCGCGTCTATTTTGCTTGATTTTTCGTTGCTTCCTAATCTGATCAACGGTCTTTAGTTCACTCTTTACACCACGCTTAGGAATATCTGGTGTTTTAACCAGATGAATCGCTTTGTTACGGGGTTTTTTCTCCTCGTAATTATCATTACCTTCGATGCTATTGTTGGATTTTTGCATCTTTTTCAGTTTCTTTGGATAATTTTTCGATAGTGGATCTAATGGTTTAGGTGTTGTGATTTTGTTGTGTCGGTATCGTTTCACATCTACTTGCACGGTGCCGAGTTCTCGTTCTCCAGTTCGTGGTATCTCAAGTTTATTTTGTTGTTGCCATTCTTTGAATCTTTAGAGTCAAACAAAAAGCAAAACGATTAAATATCAAAAAAAAAGATGATTGTTATCGTATACGCGGGGTCTAACAAACAAAACGAGAAGTCAAAAATTATTAAACATACCTTCCACTCTTGTAAGTAGCCGGAATCCGAATCCCGCTCTCAGTTTTTATCAATTTCTTATTATCCGCACCAATTCCCAGCCCGCGAACAAAGTTTTTCTTTTTAGCGTCCCATCTATACGCGTTCTTTTTGTTTTGTATGGTGGATGCTTCGTCGCCTTGTGGATCCAAAATAGCTTTTTGTGCTTGTTCGGCAAAAGAGGTTCCTTGGGTTACTGAGTATCTGATTAACCATAAAAAAACATTTTTTATAAAACAGATATCGTACATAGGTAGATAGAAATGCATTTATGCAACATACCCTTTTTCAGTGTTCGCATCCATTTGGTAATGCGGAATATAATACTCCTCATCTCGGTAATTGTCCTTTTTTTGTTTTTTCGATGCTATTAATTATTGATAATAAATGATTAATGTGATGAGAGAGGTTTAAAATATATCCTGACGTGACAAACGATGATAAGATGTTTGAATTAGGTACCATTCGAGTTTGCAGTATCTTTTGCTTTTCTCTTTTTATGATTATTGTCATCCAATTTGGACTTCGAGTCCGTATAAGCCTTAATCTCGTCTTTCTGTTCTTTATTATTGTCCTCATCAGAATCGTTCAGTTGCTGTTGTTGTTTGACGTTATTTTTTTCCTGAGAAGTTTTAAAAGTTTCGATAGCTTTACCGACTGCATTACGTCGTTGTTTCATAACCAATCCTGCTACTGAAGATTTTTTAATTCCGCGATTACCTATCTCGAATATTGTCTTTTTTTTTATCAAAGTGTGAAATTTGGAATATTTATTGTATAATCTTTGCAATTCGATTTTGAATATATAATTAATTCATTACCTCATTAGGACGAAAGTTGGTGATTGAATTTATAAGATTCAGCCGTTCTTTTTGCTGGATATTTACTTTATCGGCTAATTAATAAAAAGCAAAAGTCTTTAGTAATATGTCAAAAAGACAAAAAACAACAACAAAAATCAAAGCAAACAATAACAAACCAAACAAAGTATGCAAATTATTAAAAATATCATCCGTCAATTCTTTTTTTGATCTATTATAACTTTCGGACGCGGCAGAAGCCCGAGACTTCGAGTATTGTTTGTAGCCGTTATTCGCTACATTCTTTAATGTCTCAAGCTCACTACTCTCTATCAGTTTACTCTTTACCCATTCGAGATTAGAGTCAATATCGTCTCTGGGTAAACCTCCGATTACTATATCCGAAGTGTAGTTTGGTTCATTGCTGCTGCCGCCGCCAGCCAATTGAGATCCAATTAATAGAGGTCGACTAAGAAAAAGTTGAAGATCTAAAAGGTGCGGAAACTAAAAAGAAAACCAATTTTTTTACCATTAAGTTATCATCAGAATATAGATTAATAAGATTTATTTATAATTAAAAAAACCACCTCTTCGGGAGTTACTAGAGAATAAGCCCACCCAGGCCTTCCAGCTCTCGCTGTCCTTCCCACACGATGCACAAAAATTTTACTCCCGTCCACAAAATCATAATTGATCACATTCTCCAAAATCGGGATATCAATACCACGCGCCGCGACATCCGTCACAATCAACAAATTTGTCATGCCGTCCCGAAAACGCGATATTTGTATTTTACGCGCGGTCTGATCGAGTGATCCGTAGATATATGATGCCGTGTAGCCGGCTTCGAGTAAGAGATTTGAGAGATATTCAACGTGGTGTTTGGTCGATACGAAAATTATTGTTTGGTGGAGTGAAGGGGGAAGATTGTTCTTGTTATTATTGTTATTGTTTGGTGATTGTTTTTTCTTTTTGGAGGGATTTGTGGCATCGTGAGTTAAAGAGGAAGGATTGAGGTTTGTGGATGATGGAACCTTGATTATTTCTTGAAGTATGAATAAAAGTGCTGCTTCTTTTTCTGTTTGTTTTACTGCAAAAAATGCCATCTAATATAATAAATAATAATATATATTTAATTAAAGATACAATATAATAATAAACCGAAAAAAGAGATACCAAACCTGAAGATCTGAACTAATCTTTGACTCCACATCCAATCTGATTAAAGTCGGATCTTGTAATCCAGCCTTTGCAAAATCGACCAAAGTTTTCGGAAGCGTCGCGGAAAACAGTAGTGTCTGTCGCGAAGAAGGTAATTTATGTAGAATCTCGTGTAGTTGGACCGAGAATCCCATTTCGAATAACCTATTTTAATTTCATAATAAATTATCATTTAAATCGATTATATTGGATTTATGAAAGTGAACTCATACCGGTCAGCTTCATCAAACACAATATATTCTACTGTGTCAAGATCCATATCCATTTCTACAAGTAAGTGTAGTAAGCGCCCTGGAGTAGCGATTATGCTTAAAAAATAAAATTACAACCCCCAAAAAATAAAAAAAATATTAATAAAAGTTGCTTTTATAAAATAAATACAACCTGGGGTGAAGTCAGTAGAAATTACTCTAATAAAATTGTCCCTTTTCTACTAATTCCACCCACGTGTTAAACAAAACAAAAAACAAATAAAATAAAATAAAATAAAATACATACATATCAGGATTGTTAGCAATCATCACAAACTGATCTTCCAAACTATCGCCACCGACCAAAATACACGTTCGCAAATCAGTGTACTTTGCAAGTTCGTTACACACTTTTTGTGTTTGTAGAGCGAGCTCACGTGATGGTGATAATATGATTGCGCGGGCGCCAACCTGATAATTTATCGTTTATGTATATATGTAAGGTTTAGAATAATTTAAAGAAAAATTACGCGTTGATCATTCAATTGATATCTATACCTTTGCAGAATGTGCCTTCAGTTTCTCCAACATCGGGATCAAAAAAGCTGCGGTTTTGCCAGACCCGGTACGTGCCATTCCTACTACGTCGTTTCCGTTTATGATTAATGGGATTGTTTTCCGTTGTATTGGTGTTGGTACTTTATACCCTTTGTGGAATATGGCTTTAAATACCGGGTAGCTTAATCCTTTATTTAATTAATTTTTTTGACTTATTATTAGTTTATTATTTAAATAGCAACAGAATAAAATCCAATCCAATTATGATCAAAATCAAATCAAACACGAATAACATAGAACATTAAATTCGTGAAAATTATTTTTATTTATTTTATTATTTGAAAATAAAAATAAACAAATAAAGAATACATTTAATTTGATTAATGAAACAAAATAAGAAAATGATAGCAATAAATAACCCACCCATTGACTGAAATCCCCCCGACTTTTTTTTCTTCCTATTCACAGCTTGCACCTGTTTCGAAATAAAAAGTGCATCGTTGTCGTCTTCATTATCGTCGTTGTCTTTATTATTATTATTATTATTATCGCTTTTACGACTAACACCACGACCACTAACACCAAAACCGTATAATTCGTCTTCAATACTATTATTCAATAACGAAGACGAAATATCTATTTCACTAGTTTCCTCCTCCTCTTCTTCATCCCCAATTTCAGTTCCTATTTCCATTGCTTCATAGTCGCTTTTTTCCATATCTGAGATTCCGATATTTCTCAAAACTTTGAAAATTTTCGACTAAAATTTTTAATTACGACATTCGATTGGAAGTTTTTTCGTAAGACGAAGCGTTTCCTATTTTATCTATTATTACCATTATTTATTATCAATGTATAAATGCATATTTATTTGTTTTTAGGTCTTTATCGGAGGAACTAAAGCTTCTAAACCAATTTTCGTTAGAATCTTTTAACATAGATAATAACATATCCCGTTCTCACATTCATTTTTTATACAGGGTGTAAACATATAATAAAGTAAAGAAAGACCAACACAAATCTATTTTCACCTAAAAAAAATAATAATGGCTCAAGCAGGAGGAGCTGCATCTCTCGTAACCCAAGCGGTGCCCATGCAAGCACCACAAATGCCAGAACCCGGTTATCCCTCAAAACTAACACTGGAACTCCGGGGGCAACGATTCGAAATAGATCGTGAAATGTTGATGAGTCTTCCTGAGAGCATCTTGATTGTAATGTTTCCGAACGGTCTGATATTAGGTAGAGGCGCAGGTCTTGACCCATATGAAGACGACGAAGAGGCCGGGGACGATGCCTCAGACGATTCGATTTTGTTGGAAGACCAAACGATATATGTAGACTTTGACCCGCAATGTTTGGAATATATCTTGAATTTTTATCGGAAAGCTCAGGATGTTTTTTATTCGAACCAGGGGAGTTCGATGTCCACGTTTCCATCTAATCCTACGCAAAATCCGTTGTTAAATAAACAGGCGATTATTGTATTGCGTGAAGAATTGGACTATTTCACCATTCCACCCAAGAAAACAAGTAGTGATAATGTAGCAGCAGATGGGTCATCGACTACCACCACTGCAGCTACCACATCCACAACAACAGTAACAGAATCAACACTGACTTCTCTATCCGTTAATAAATTGAAAATAGAATGTGGCGAGCACCTACTAAACCAACGAAAAATATTCACCGCGCTCCAGCGAAACGTCAATAAAGAGAATAATGTTGCCGAGCAACATTTAATCGATATGCTTTGCGTGTCTGGATTTTCGCGGGACGATGAATGGGGCTATCGAAACATTGAGCCGCTGAAAACTAGTATTGTGAGTATTGCCTTGGTAATGTTGAAGACTACCGGGCAGAGTAATCAGATGGCTACCGCACAAAAGTTGTTATTGTTTTGGAGGAAGCCGGCGGTATGTGTATTTTTGGCTTTTGGTTGTTGATATTTATTTTAATAGTAATGATAATTGAATTTTTTTATTATATAGAGAAAATGCTGGTGGGATGGATTAGAAGTCAATCTTGGTGTTGCTAAGAATATACCAGTCAGTCTTTGGTGTAGACGTACTTGGACTTTGGAATTGGCTTTAGTTTAAATAATTAAAAGAACAAGAAATTCCTTTTTTTGAATTTTTATGTACATTAATAATTTTTTTCTCTTCCTTTTCCTTTGGTACGGTTGTGGTTTCCATTTCTTTCGATATCACACTTTTTACCGTCTTTAACCTTGTCTAATCAATTAAAGCTTGAATTGATTATCCACTCCTTACGTTTTTTTTTTCATTTTTGGTTTTTATAGTTTGTGTATTTTTTGACTTTTAATGTGTATAACTGGTCTACTATATACATAGTACTTACATTCACCATACTTACGCATATATACAACGAATAATAATCCATTTTTTTTTGTAATTTTTACTATATAGTATTAACAGTATTAATAATTTATATGTTGAAAAACGACTTGTGTTAGCAAATATTCATACCAATATTATAATAATTAATAATAATTAATAATAATAACACTAATAACACTAATAAATTCCTTGGTATTATTATTCTAATTGTTTTCGTCTTCAAATAAATTCGCTAAAGTCTCTTCCACTTGTTTAATTCGCCTCACCAATGAAGTAGCGTTATATGGAAACAGATGTTTAGACATTAGAGATTCGATTGCTTGTCGTAAGTTCATAAACATGGTCAAGAATTTGATGAATGATTTTTGCTGAGATGATGATAACTCGATTTCTGTCTCCATCTCTGATTCCGTATTAATATTGTCTTTCTTTTCTTCTTTTTCGTCATCACCATCCTCCTCTCCAATTTGCTCCACAATTCTCTTAAAACATTTGACGAATCCTTCCACATCACACACCAAATATTTGCAATAAATGACAAAAAATTCCAAAAACTCTGTTTCATCGGAAATCAAGAAATCCAATAGCACAGAGTGATCGAAACTGAGATCGTATGTGAATCGGAGAAAGAGGTCGTGCGGGGTGCACTTTATGAGGAGGGTTTTTATGAAAGTGGAAAGTTTGGTGAAGAGTTGTAGACTATTTTTTTTGGTGATTTTGTTGATTGTCGTGGTTAGATATGTGAAGAGACTTTCAAATTTGGAAGCTTATAAAAGAAATTACGATAATTCATAAAAACAAATGACCTTTTTTCTTTTTTATCTTTTGCCAATTCTTCTATTCGTTGCTCAAATTTTGGAAATCGTGTAGATAATTGAACCATACTCAAAATAAATGAGATCATGTCACCATCATTCTCGCCAAACAAGTGAGAAATAAAGTTTGGTAATTGTGGACTTTCTAATAGTACTTTTTAAATATGATCAAGTATGTTGATAAATAATTCATGAATCTGTAATAACATATATAATGAAAATACTTACCTTTAACAGTGTTAATAACTTCATTCAACACATTATAATTTTTATGAATCTCAATGTTATTAATAATACTCTCAAAATCAACAAGGATTTTATTAAACGTTTTTCCATCATCCTCGTCCTTGTCTTCTTGTTTTTGTTCTGTGAAAATATCAATCAGTCTGATAGCCGATGACATGTATATAACAGATACGCGTTTCAGAGATTCACGATCGTAAATTATTGTAGTTTGTGATATCTGTGATAATGAAGGCGATTGTGGCGGTGGCGGCGTATAAAAGAATTCGGTGTATTCGTCATAAGAAGGGAACAATATTTTCTCTAGAATAGGTGGTGTGAGATTGGTCAATAGATGAAGAGTGTACTGGGATTTGGAAAACAGTACTGTAGATATCTAAGTTTACAAGAATATAATTAATAATTAATTGGCCAATGTAATATAAACATAAAATCCCGTCATTATTTAACGTACCGATGAAATATCATTATCTGTGGATTTAGAAATCAACAATAAAATCTCGAGTACTCGTCTTATTGCCGTTATGTGTTGTTTATCGTTTAGTAACAACGTTGATACCTAAAAATTAAATATAAGCATTCAATTTCCTCATATATTAATTATTTAATTGATTAATTACTTGCTTTAAATATGTTTTCATTGCTGAACAAGTTATGAGAAATGTCGATGACTTGACGATATAAAGTGCTTAAAGATTCCTTTTCAACATTATTAGTAATTTCATCATCATCGTCTTCTTTATCATCTTTGACTAGCAGCAAAATATCTTTTATCTTTAGGACATCGACAAGTAATACGAGACTAGGGACAATTACAATGGTATAAACATCATCATCTTGTAGTTTCTTTTGATGGTTTTCGGAATCAGTGGTGTTGGTGATGGTCATCTTTTTGAAAAAGCATATAAAATTATTAGTATTAATCACCGTAACAACAAATATAATATAATAGTATAAGTGTTAACTATTGTACCCTCTCCATTACGTTATTCAAATATTTAATGAACTCTATAATCCATTTCCAAATATCTTGTGTATGAAGAATTTGTTTCGCCGCGACATGCGAACTATTTTTGCTAATATCTTCACTATCAATGCCTCCCCCATCTTCATCACCTTTATTTTTTACATTCTTATTGTTACATTGACTACGTAATCGTTTTCTAAAATCTTTAAGAACTTTGTGGTAGATTTCGAGAATCGCGTTTACTGCCAAGTGATATCTATTTTTGTTTTTGTCATTTATTTTATTTGGTTCGTGATTTTTTTCTATATCGACACTAATCTCGTCAAGAAATGCCCAAAGTATTTGAGTAAACGAAGGTAATATTGATGATAAGGTATCTTTTTTTGTCTGATTTTGTATTTTAATATATTAGACAAGAAAATTTTTTGTTTCTTTTTATAGAGAATAAATAAAGAAATAATATATTTCAAACTACCTGATAATAGTAATGTAAATCAGCCACAAAAATCCAATCCAACAAAAGTTTGCGAGTGGCAAATACGATAAATTGATCATGAAGCAAAAGAATCCTCATCTACAAATTACAAAAATAAACTATATAAAAATATATAAAGTATATTCTACACTCAGAAATTATTCATTCCTTCCGTCAATTACAGTCATATTTACCAAATCGCTGTGTCTTTTCTCCAATATCTCAAAAAACAATTGGTACAATTTCATCAAAAGAGAAGCATCAACAGAACCAAATGATGAATTGTCAATTGCTTTATTGTCAGATAAAGAAACAAGAAAGCAATCACGATATCCTGTTATTAAGCCATTGATTTTCGTGATATTCGTTAGAATTGCACGTCGTTCCCGTTGATTCTGCGTATCGATCGTTGCTGATGTTGTTGTAATTCGAGAATCTGTAAAAAATGATGATGATTGGAAATTCTTTACAATTTTTATAGTAATTCCATATATTGATCAAGAAAAATTGAGAATCAATGTCAAAATTAAAATATATTCTAATATTTCGTTTTGATCATACCTCAAAAAATTCCACCACAGACTCGATATCTTTTTCGGCAAGCACTTTTGAAGAAATTATCATTCCAGACGAGAGATTTCACGTGACTAATTGAATAAAAGTATCTGAAAGTTTTGAAAGTACATATATTGAAAAAAAAATAAATAAGTATATATGTAATCATTTCATGCTGTAATGTTACTTTCAAATAGCTCAAAGGATAATATACCCAAAGAAATCCCTATATATGCGCTTATTTTCTAGCAATGTCTTTGGTGATTTGTTAACCAGTCTATAGTTATTTTTGGGACAATTACTTTCTGACGTCTAATTTGTTAACACACTGATATTTGGTATTTAATTGGATAATCTAATGTAATGCTGATTGTCACTAAATAGTTTAAGTTCGCTTTTGTGACATTACAAATAAATTTTTTCAAAACACGATTATTTTTGCGAAATAGTGTTATTAGAATTACCATCAAGACTAGAGATTAATAGTTCAGACAAATATTTTCTGGTGTCATTATCAAAAGTTTCGATCGTTGATCTACCACTATTCAATTTAATCGTTGCTGCTGGGGAATCCAAGGTAATAATATATCCTGAGGTTATCTCATCTCGCGTTATACTAACATCGTCGATACCAACCTATGAGATTAAAAGACAGAATTTGTTTAATTGCTTCTTTCATAAGTCAGATTATACTTTGTGACTTTAATATTACACACCTCGGATAAACGAGTTAACATCTTGTGAAGCTGCACATTACCCAAAAGGAGTCTCGAGGTAGGTGAATCTTCAGTTTCTTGTTCTAATATGAATCGACTATTTTGAATTAACAAATTGCCTTGCAGAGGAGCAAGAAAAGCATCTTCGATTTTTATTGGACGAATGTTTTTTGCAAGCTGATCAAATATTTGTATACAGATTAATAAAATAAAAAATATTGAACACAGTAATGATAAAATTCAGTTTAGATTTACCGTTTCTTTTAATTGTGTTCTTTCATACTGAGCCCTAATGGGTGTCTTTAGAGTATCCAAGTATTCGTAGAAACTTAACCTTGAATACGGAAAATATTTTTCTATTGTACCAGCAGCATTAGACGAGACTATGATTTGTGGTGTATTATTTCCTTTCATTAACTCGCTAAGTTGATTGATTGACATTCGTATATCTATCGGTGAATATTTGATCTTCATTTTCATTCCTTCAAAGAGAGACAATGTTGTATTACAATCAAATTCGGAATCTATATAAAAGAGACACAATCAATAATAAATAAACTTCAACTACAGCTTTGAGTTTTTTTAATACACAACCTGTTAAGATCATGATATTCTTAGAATCTTCTCGCCATTTATGTATAAAATCAATAACGGGACCACTTCGCAACGAAGGATGTCCAGCGAAAACTATGCATGGTTCCTTGTATCTTTCGTTAATCGAACTATCAACATGCGCGACATGAATTAGTCTCCCTTGAGCCATTAAATTCTTGTGTTCCATTGGGTCTTCAGGTACATAAACCTTTTCTTGATTCTGAACACACATCCTAAAAAAAGAATTACTTGTGATTATCAATTAATTTTTAAAGTATAACCAATCTGATGGATTTGAATCATACCATTCTGATAGAATATTGGAATATTGAAGTGATTCCTCGGCCACCGGAGAAGCAATGTAAAACGTGTTCTGGGCGGCTTTCAAGCGATTACTTAGGTTTTTCAATAAGTCGAAAATAATCCCGTTTAAAGTACACGGAAATAAGATATTACCACCTTGCCGTAAGCTATTAGCTTTAATTTAATAATATTAATTAATTGAATATATATTAAACGTAAAGTGCAAAAATAATTACCAACACTTGATTGGATATCATTAAGAATCTCATCATAAGAGTCGTTTAATTCTTTGCGGATGTCGGTTAAAAGCATCACGTTGGCATTTTCCAAGACGGCATTATCAAAAGGAGCAGGGTGAATGTTATTTCCGATAGAAGAGGAAGATATAATTGATATCTATTTTGAAATATCAATTGGAACATTAATTGAAATTCCCGCTAATAAATATTACGAAAGCATAAGGTAAACTTAAACACAAGCCTTCTTATACGCATATTCTATAGTCCAGTTCGCGCCTCCCAAACAATAGCCAGAGCTAAAAGCAGTTACTTTAAGCGAATCATACACCATCTGGTAAGTAGTCAAATTTAGCTTAAGCTGAGCAAAAAGAAAAAGAATAAAAAAACTCGAGAATCTCACCAGTTCTTCACCATATCTCACAGGCTGTATTTTTTTAATACATGCTTGAACGTCAGCTAATGAATATAATGAACGAGCGTGATTCTCTATTGATCCAGTATTCTTTCTAGGAATTAACTTTGAATCTTATGAAAAATTTTAATGAAAGTGATTTATTGTTGTTGAAGAATATGCTTACTTTGATTGAGTAGATGCGCGTCGTTTAGTCGCATCAGAAAGAGGACTCTCTCCGAAATAGTGTACCAGTTCTTTCATAAGCTGTCTGAAATTAATAATAAGCTCAATAAATACTTAAAATAATTAAATAATATATTAACCAGAAGGCGAACGAACCCTCCAAGCTCAATAGTCGGCTCCGTGGCATATATACTTCCTTCAAACTTCGTGTATTCCGTGATAAATGGTAAAGCAAGCATATGTCTAAAATTAGAGATTATTATGAAATCTATTGAATTCCAGTCTATTACTGAAAAGTCTGGTGTCTGGACAACGAATTCTCCTCCCGGCCGTACACTAACGCCCGAGTCTATAGAAACGTCGATTTTACGACGTTTATACTTTATGTCCCCTCCAGAAGAGTTAAATGCTGTGCTCAATTTTTGAGAAGGATCAGGGTTGAATATGTCTAGAGACTTTGGCTCTTCCTTCTGTCCAGTGGCGTCGCGTGGTGGAAACTTTAGAACGGAAGACATGTCTAAACCACAATCAAACAAGAACTCCATTTGATGGAGTTTCAATAGGAAACAATTTGAGCGTGGATTTTGGCTAAGGCAATCCTGAACGAGGTATAAAATGAGCTCAAAGAACATGATTTCATTCAATATTAATACAAAAATCCAACTTACAAGCTTCATTGTATTATTTCAGTATCTTCGCGTTGGCAATTATCACGATGTTGATCACATTTTATATTGTGACTAATAAATTTACCGAAATCCAAAAAATTTATCGGACACAAAATATGGAAGGACAAATAAATGAGGTAAATAGCATTTACAAGCTGTTTATCTGGCTCAATGAAAATAATCATGTAACATTTTTAAAATTAGCTTGTGAGTTTTCTTCGTGACCCTAACCCCGAAGTAAGTATATATATTTTTGTTGTTTTATGTTGTGTGTGATACATGATTAACGATAGTTTTTGTATCGTATTATTATAAAAAGGTGCGTCGAGGCGCATTAAGTCATTTACTCGGGTATACTGCCAAAACGTCACAATATCAGTATATATTTAAGCTAAATAATAAGCAGCCTATTAGAGATTTGAAACTTTTGTGTATGGATAATCCTGTATGTTTTTGCGCGTATATTAAAAGTTCTTGATTTTTCGTTTGATCTTATTTTTAATAATGATATTTATTAAAGTTAATAGCACACGATGCTTTTTCAGCCCTGATTAATTTGTCAGAGGATACCGAAATATGCAAAGAACTGGACGACAACAAATTCTTAAAGTATTTGGTGGACGCTGTACTTGTATTGTATTGTATTTTCTATATTGTTTTAACTTTTCGAATTATTTTGTGTGAATTTTTTCTACGATTTTTGATCTATATTCTTCTTATATTGAAAATCAAAACTATAAAAATAGAATCCTAAAGTAATACTTGCGGATTTAGTGTGTATGCTATTATCAAACATTACCAAGGATGAAAAAATTGCCGATAAGTTATTAAATGCGACTATGCCTGAAACAGCTAACACAACAAACACCACTTTAGTATCCTCCACACGTGCAATGGATCAATTGGTTGATGTATTTGTAAAAGGTGTAAATAAGGAGTACAACAAACATGCCGAATACCATTTTTTATCGAGTGTATTTGCTAATGTTACTATCGTAGGTATTTACTTATTATTTATCATATTCATATTTTTGATCTAATTTATATATGTATTTATTAATTCTTTATTTTATTGTAGTTACAACAAGGTCGAGATTTTTTCTTGACTGATGCGCCGCAATATAATTTACCACCTCTTACAAGTCTTATTATTTTTATTGAACATTCTAACGTAATTCGAAGAGGTGGTGTTGTGTCATGTATAAAGTAAGTAAATGTAACTCTATTCAACACGAAAAAGAAATTGACTATTAATGTATTTTCTAATTTTGGTATCTATCTTAATAGAAACTGTTGTTTCAATGTATCCCAGCATCTTGATCTGCTATCCGAATCGAAAATTAATCTTTTACCGTATATATTACTTCCACTTTGTGGTCCCGATGAATTTGATCCAGATGTATGTAATGAACACATAATTTATTTGAAAAATTCAAGCAAAAGCAAAACCAATAATAACATCAAAACTGATTAAAGGATATGGAGGGCATGCCAGAAGACATACAGTTTTTACCACCGGATAAGGTATTACACTCAATATAATGAAAAAAAATCATATTGTTACACATTGATAATATATTAAATGTAACAATAGAAACGTGAAACAGACCCACACCTTCGTCAAACACTCTTAGAAACGATACTACTTTTAACCAGCACACGACAAACACGCGACATACTCCGTGCCAAAAAAGTTTACCCCGTTATACGACAAATGCATCTCGTGGAAAAAGACGAAAATGTTGGTCATGTCGCTGAGAATATTGTGAATATGTTGATGCGTGATGAGGCGGAAGAAGAAAAGTCAGAATTATCGTCGCAAAAGGAAATTGGTGGCGGTGTTGATGATAAAGACGTCAATAAAGGAAGTAGAGATGCTGAAGATGAGGAGGATGATGAAGATTGTCAAATTGTGGAAATTATATGAATCTTCCTCTTTCTCATTAGTTTGTGATCATATCATTAAAATATTAAGATAATTTTAGAAGAGGATATACGTGTGTATCGAAGAAAGAAGTGAGTTCTTTAATTCTTTGTGTTTGACTTCTCTGCATTTTTTCACATTATTTGCATAAACTATTTTGTACATTTTATTAATTACTTTTACCATCCATTATTAATAACCTATTTTATATTGAAGGTAAATAAAGACTAGAACAACATTTTTATTTCTCTCATCAAAATCCTTTTTCCGATGTCCAGCAGGCCAGCAGTGCAAAAACATGGGAAACCTGTTTTAGACCTGTCGCCAAGCTGCATCGTTTCTGGATTAGAAGCCCAAAGAAACAGTCATTGTCTTTAAAGACAGGCCTAGGATCTGAATGATTTTTCTCTGTAAACTTTATAACTCTGCTACGAAAAAGTTAAACAGTCATATTTAATTTTTTGGCTGATAAAATAGTCGCATATCCTGTAGAAAACCAACTGTTAGTTTTAAATTGACATATATACAATATAGAATGTAATTTTCAAAATAGCCAAGGAACTGTAAAAATCACGATCGATTTTCCCTTTACGTGATTTTTCCGATCCCTGACGATCTCGAAACCAATGAGGATGCGCAAATCTTTGATCAACCCGGCAAAACAAATCCGTCACAAGAAAATGAACAATACGGGAAATAGATGCCTAAATCTAACTTGGAGCACTAATAAAAAATGACGGGAAGAAAATTTTACATGTAATTTTACTCCAACTCTAACCCTAACCTTTAATTAGTGCGGAATGTTTCGGATTATTATTGTGACCGGGAAAATATCACGTGAAGGGAGAATCGATCGTTGGTGAGATAAAATGCGACTATTTTTGTTATCTCGGATCCCGGATGACAATCAGTAGTGTAGATCGTCAGGGGTCGGATTTTCAAAATAAGTCGCTGTTGGTTATCTTTACTAACTAAAAAGTCAAAATGAAAGTAAGTAATGTCCAATATCGAAATTCTCAGTTGATTTTTTTATTAATTTGTTTTTATTATTAATTAGATAGCGATTGAAGGTTGCTGTCATAGTCAACTAGAAACGATCTATAGAACCTTGGAGCATATTCAGCAAGTAGAAAAAATTAAAATAGACCTGTTGCTGATATGTGGCGATGTTCAGGTCCTTAAATGTTGAAATGTTTACTTTCGACTATATTAAGAGTTTTGAATTTTGATGATCATTTGTAACTTTGATATTTAGACTGTTCGCAATTGGGCAGATTTAGATTCCGTAGCAGTCCCAATAAAGCATCGTTACCTGGGCACATTTTATAAATACTATTCTGGGGAATGTAAAGCTCCGATTCCAACACTTGTGATCGGAGGAAATCATGAAGCGAGCAATTATTTGTGGGAATTGTATGATATCAAAGTCTAGTTGTCAATCGCTTTAAGGATGATGTTAATAATGCTGATTTTTTGTGTTGTTGGTAATAGATATCATGGAGGATGGGTATGTGAAAATATTTATTTTCTTGGATACGCAGGAGTTGTCAATTTTGGGGGTCTTCGAATAGGAGGAATTTCTGGGATTTATAAGATGAAACATTATGATTTGGGTAATAATCATTATGATGATATTAATTTTATTTTTTTTTGATACTTAGTTGATTGGTTTTTTCTCTCGTTTATTTTTGCATTGAATTCCTTTTTATCTACTCTGATTAAATAAATAGTTTTATGATTAAACCTTTTTAAAAAAACAATGACAGGTCATTTTGAGACTCTTCCATATTCGGATTCAAGCCTCAGGAGTATATATCATATTAGGAATTATGAAGTCACCAAACTTGAACAGGTGAGTTAAATATTATAGGCATATTCATAATAAATCGATTTTTGGCATACATTCATAATCACATTGTCGATAATATTAGCTAAGGAAACAATTAGACATCTTTATGTCACATGAATGGCCTCGAGGTATCGAACGATACGGTGATACACGGCGTCTAATTGCAAATAAACCTTTTTTTCAGGGTGAAGCAAGTATTTTTATTTAATGATCTTCTCTTTGCTTATTATTAATAGCAAAAACTTAATTTGGCTTATTATCATTTAGATCAAAGCTAATAATCTTGGGAACCCAGCGTGTGAACAACTTTTATATAAACTAAAGCCACGGTATTGGTTTGCTGCACATTTACACGTAAAGTTTTCTGCTGTATTAAATCACGATTCGCCACGGATTCCTATAACTTCAAAAACGTCAACGACATCACCCACATCCATATCTACAACAGTAGCAACCTCTAATATTACAAAAACAACAGAAGTAACAAGAGAGCAAGTAGTGCCCGTTGTTTCTGTCGTTGATCCGGATGAAATTCAAATCAATATGACTGATTCCGAAGATAATGACAATGAAATGGACAACAACGAAGATGATGGAAAACCTACTTCTACTGCAATAGCAACAGCAGAATCGAGTACCGCTGCTATTGAGGACAATAATAATCCTGAGGTTAACACCGAAGAAGATGTTATAAGTTTGTCGACGACTCCTACACATTTTGATGATGCTGTGATGCTGACGGCAGAAGACGACGACGACGAAGTTATGATAGGTAGTAGTACTATGGATGCATCTACGCCTCCAGTTGATTTCAGCATTTCATCACCATCGTCATCTGCTGGTGATGTTGTTCACAACAGTAATGATAACAATTATAACAACAATAACGATAATAACAGCAGCACGAATGTTAATAATGCAAGTACGGATTCGAAAACTAGTAAAGATAGGATTACACGGTTTTTGGCACTTGATAAGTGTATGCCTTTTAGAGATTTTTTGCAGGTTTGATTTTATTTATTGGTTGATCGATCGTTGAATTATTTTTGGAGCTTGGACATCAGTTGATTGTTTTTTACTTTGTAATTAACTTTCAAAAAAAAGATCTTAGATTTTCCGGAAGCAAATGGACCACTGGAGTTCACGTATGATGAAGAATGGCTTGCAATCACGAAAGCGATGCATCCGTATCTTAGTATCGCTCAACATCAGACAAAGATACCGTCTGATACAGAGTTACAACGGTAAACTTGTTTATGCTTTTTTATATACTGAATCAAATAAATTAATTTTAATTATTCATAATTAAAAAGACAAATTGAAGTTCAAAAGACATGGGTGCGTGAAAATGTCACATCACGAGTGAATGGACTCACTATCCCGCATAATTTCAAGCACACGAGTCCGCCGATCGTTGAAGATGATAATAATCTGAAGTGGAATTCATTGGATCCTCGTATGTTTATGTTTATATTAAAATTTCAGATTCTTATTTAATGAATTAATTATTGATCGTCACTATTCTTTGTTAAATAGGTCAACCTTTTTTGAATCCGCAGACTGTGACATTTAACGAGTTACTAGGCATCGAAAACAAGATTAATCCAAAAGGTCAAATTATTAAATAACGTGTACTATTCATATCACTATTATAGTTAACACAATTGCAAATTTTAAACCATATTAATAAATCATTGCAATATACCCCGGGTATCTTAGGCAGTAAATTACGGTAATATAAGTCGATATATCCCTACCTATTGATCTAAATTTGTATCTAGTCGAACTTGGACTGAATTATCGGATTAGATTCAACTTGTAATTTCGACTTGAGTAAAAAAAGAAGTCTTCTCAATGTCTGCGATTTCTTGAAAATAAATTACCTTTTTGAGAATTTAGTCAGAAAACAATGTTTTTTATTATGTTTGTTTCTTGCATTGAAAATATCATAAATTGGTTTGATGTTCGCGTGTATTTTATGTTTTTTTATTTGTGAATTTCTAGAGTTTTGAGTGCCAACCAATGCTGTATAACACTTTTCATTGCAAGATCATTAAACATAATGATTTTTAATGACTATTATATTGGATGTTAAAAGATAATTGTTCTTGCCCTCTTGTTCTTGTCCTCTTCAATACTCCCGCTCAATCATACAGAACGGAAAATGGAAATTCGTTGTTAATGATGGTTAGCATGTCTTAATTTGAATTTTTACATCCTGCAAATAAAAAGTATTGTATTCTTATTCTTGATCAATTGTGATTTAATTACTATAATTATATGCATCACACAAAAAATGCAATACGTTCCTTGATAATAAAGAAACCCAATGCGTTTTTGAGCATTTGTAAAAGGTTAAACTCAAATTCGTGAAAAATTAGGTTGGACTTTTTTAATTATAAAAACTGGTGACATTTCTCATTTAGATGTTTTCTCATTTGACGAGATTCTTCGGAGAAAACAAAATAAATAATAATAAATTGCTTCGCTTGTTTTTCTTGAATAAGCTTTATTTACGAGATCATTAAGTTTTTTCTAACTCTTTAAAGGTTTTAATTGAGTTGTTTAAGCATTCTGATAGTAAAATTTTAATATTCTTATTGGTGAAAGAATGGTTTCGACTTCAACTCTATAACATCGTAATAATTAGCCACTTTGTCAGTAAAAACGAAAGTCCATTATTCTAAATTTTTACTCGTAATTCGTGCAGCATTTCATATTGATCGAAACACCCCATTTAACTTTCCCAAGGGCAGAGACTATAGAGCAGTGCTGTCAGCTTTATATGTCAATTGCCAACACTGTATAGAGGGATTTGACTGCAATTAAAAATTATATGGTGGACATCCCAATTCCAAAGTTACTGGCAATTAACCATGAATACGGGAGAAATTGGTGCAGCAAAAAACATGTCAAGGCCCGTATAACAGGAAACAATTGTGTGATTCCCTGAAACTCATGTAAGATATGTTCCATTAATTATAAAGCGTAGTCGACTATAACGAAGTGGTAATCAAGGGAATACGGGTGGTCGGTTTGTTGCATTCGCGCCTTCAAAATAATTCCTGGTGTATTTCGGAGTTGGTTCATGTTTGCGTCTTGTAAAAGAAACGACAAGTATTCTTCTGTCTCTGGATGACGTGTATCTGTTGCAAAGCGAACCCGAGGACGAATCATCCTTGCAAGAATTCCACAACCTTCTTTGCGTCCTTTCACTTCAAGTTGTACACCTTGCGGAATTCTAAAGGAAACACCTTGTGCATAAATCCTTTTTTTGTTGCGCCTTTTTTCTAATTCTTTTAGTTTAGCAACTTATAAGACAACTTTTCGTGAGGGGAGGGGAGCAAAGTTCAGCCATCATCACATTTGCATGTTTTATTTACAAAGTGGATATGCTAAAAAAAGTCTGTATGAGTTGAAATAACGAGGTAGTGTGTCGCTCTTTTGGATAACTTTACCAAATACTCAAATAGGATTAAATCACAAAAATACCGAAAATCGAATAATGCATACATTTAGAGCTTTAATTTTGCGAAATCCACATACGTGAAATATACATCATTTTTTCTTTCCTCCTTTACCCTTTCCTTTTTTAGGTTTGCTCATACCCTGCAACTCTTTAGCAGACAATTCCGGAACTTTCTCACCCGATTCCATAAACTCCAATTCATAATGTGTATCCTCGCCAAACTTTCTCTGGAATTTCGACAACTGACCACTTTCATCTTGCATTCCATGTTTCATTTCCGGATTCCACAATGGATGATTTCTTGTGTCACGAACTAATTTCACGAACGGTTTTGGAGAAGTGGTTTGAATTGTGTATGTGGCACCATCCGTTAATATTATTTTTTGTGTGTAAAGTCCGGGACGTGGAATAGAGAGAGTCGTTTTTTTAGGTGTCATTGATTCGGCTGATGGATAATTTACGAATGGGGTCGAGTGGAATTGACGGACATTACTGTTATTATTCGTAGTATTGATGATGGTAATGATTGGTAGTCTGGTTTTTCGATGTTTGAAAATGCATTTTGGATTAATGAATGCCATTTTTAAAGATTTTTTGTGTCAAATAAAAATTTACTAATATGAGTCATAATATTTGTCACGTGATTACTGAAATTGGCTTGTGTCAGAATCTGAACAATATATTCAAAAACCTAATTATCTTGCATTCTTTCTAACTGCGTTACAAATCAAGCATTTCAATTAGAAAAAATGGCTGAATATATAATTGACCCTTAGAACGAGATTGCTAATAAATATGTTGTGAAATAAAAACAATACACATATATCCTCATGCATTCTGTCAAGCTTAAGGACAGAAGTGTTTAATAAGTAATTTCCATTTCTTAGAAATTTCGCGTGAAAGATATCGATAAGTTTAAAATACCTGTTACTCGCAGATTAATTAGAAACAAATTCTGTGTTGTCGCAGAATCAAAAAACTCATCCCAAAAAAGCCACAGAAAAACAAGAGCTAGCAGATTTATTGTGCATAATTTCAAATTGTATCTAATCTTCCATTTTTGGTAATATTAAAAAACTAAACCGTAAATATGATAGATTAAGTTCTTCTCTTTCAGATTTACGGCAATGTCAAGTTTGTGCGTCTCCTTTGAAAGGTGAGTACATTACGAGTCATATTAACCAATAACGTTAAATCATGTGACTAAAGGCACGTGTAAATTAGCCAGTAAAATTTAATTATGTAAATAAGGACACGTGAAGATCGTCATTTAAAATTTCGGACTGATCTACATTTTTGATGAGTATAAATGGTTTGCACCATAGCACCGAAGTGGAGAAATCGGAATTGGACTCTGTGAGGTAAAAACAGGTACATACATGTGGTAACTATATATGTAGTTGGCAGTGTGGTATGTGGGAATAAGTTCTCGCGCAAGTCACGTCCATGTCGGCGTGGGTGCGCAACTTACTCGGAGAATAGCTATACAGTTGTTCAAAGAAGTAGGTTTCGCTGGCATTGCCTGAGGAACAAGATAATACTCTGAAGACGTGGCTTTTTGTAAGCTAGTTCATAAGAGTTATCAAGTTTCTTAGTCTTTGCTGGACTCGATGGCTTAACGAGGGTAAACCAAGCTACTTATTTCGTATATCGCCTGTTGACTGCTCAGAGTTCATTATCATGTGTGTTTATGGTTGTAGTTTCATGCTAACAACCAATTTTTTTTAGGCTGATCAAATAAGTAAGATGCTGATCAAATAAGTAAGATGCTATAGAGAACGTCCGAAATAAGAAAAAATATTACTTGTATGGTTCATGCCATCTATAATCATCAAACAATTTTCATATAATTTGCGCAATTAATTATACAAGAACAATAAATGCAAAAACTTGGTGATGATGAACGAGTGTGATCACGTCTATATGTTTAAGTATATATGAATAATAAATAATACAAATAATCAAAATATTAATAGCTCCGTTTCTGCTGCTTCAACAGCAGACGATGATGCAGCCTCGGAGTGGGTAAGGGCTACACTGAACATCAAGAGAAGAAAATAAAGCAAAGAGGAAGAAGGGAGTAAATGAACGCAAAGGAAGAAAGGTAGGTAAGATAGGATAAATAATTTATATACAATTAATTTCCATCGTTACCATTTGTACCATTTTGACCGGTATCCGAAGGTGAAGCGAGTACGCTATCTAAATCTAAATATTGATCAAAAATGTTATCTGAAATTATACCATTTTGACCGGCACCCGATGGCGAAGCGAGTACGCTATCTAAATCTATGTATCGATCAAAAATGTTATCGACTAAGCTAGCACCAACAGCATCTACATCGAAATTAAATCTCAGATCGAAATCTAGTGCGGGGTAATTGCTTAATACCTAACAGATAATTGATGAATGTCTAATAAATAAATCAATGATTAACAGTAAATAGATAAATGGAAATAATAATATTAATTACCTCCTCTATTTGTTGTTGTTGTACATCACCAGCATTATGTTTGTTCATAGCAATATTACATAACTCGTTATTATGGTTAACATTACTATTACTATAATTGCTAGCCCATTGCCTAAACTCTGGACAAATAAAATGGTAACAGTTGAAAGCACACTCAACAACTGAAACATTCTGTAAATAAGGAAAAGTAGCAGATAGCACTGGTGTTGCTATGTCAAAACTAATATTCCAGCATCGAATGAACTGCAAATCTGTTAATTTCTGACAAGCAGCGATTCCCCACCATGGCAGACAATTGTTGAAATCGCATTCAACGAATTTCAGTTCGACAAGCGAATGCGATTGAAATGTCAGCGATTCCAGTATTCGATCGAGAAATGATTCGTATTGTTGCAGTTGGAGTGAAACTAAATTCTTTTGCGAGATGATTACGCTGCTGTAGTCGGTGATGAAACATTTCTTTCCAAGTTTATTCATTGTCGTTGAAGATTTCATATCAATTTTATCCTAATAAAGAAATAAAATAATTGTATTCAATATATAGTAAAAAAATTCCAGATTCGGTATAATCTCACCAAATTTCGTAAACTTCTCGGAATTTGATCTAGAAAAGTTGCATCATCTGCAAAATTACAATCAATTTTGCATCTTTTCACCGTTGCAAGAAATTGATCAAATTCCGGTTCAGCAAGGATCGAATAATACGCATCAGCAAATGAATATTTGCCAAGTGAACAGTTGATAATGGTGAAATGTGTCGAATGCGATCTAGCGAAAAGTCGAAGTAAAGCCCGGGTCACCAGAATAACTTTATTATCAAGTGCTCGAGTTGTCCAGTTTGAATTGCAGAAAGCCCAAACTGACATTACTAATCTTCCGTAGTCAAGCGTTTTAAGGTAAGCCGGATATGGATATTTTGTTGTTATTTGATAATTCGAATGTATCTTATTCATTTCTTGGATTCCTTGACTTTTCAGATATTTAATTTCATTATATTTGAGCATTGAAAGATATAATTCAACTTGCTTCCTTCCTCTTCGCATAAATGGTCTACTATACAAAAATTGAAGTGCAACTTCAGACCAACTTTTTTTGACCAGTAAACAACTATAAATATCTGATACTGGATTGCTCCTGTTTGTTCCATTTTCTGATATCAAGGCCGGGTCATCTTCATCCTCAATAAATAAGTAAAAGAAGATCTCATACAGTATATCGGGAACTAATTCAGGTGGACTGTTTATTTGACTCGTTTGTCGTTTCTTTTCAACCGTCCTTTTTCGTTGTCGTTGCACCTTTGCATTATTGGACATGACAATGACCTTGATAACAGAATGAGGGTACTATTACTCTATTGATTTTATTACTAGTGGAATCACCCTGTGTCAGAGATTATCGGTATTTGTATTTTTGTTTTAAGAAATATTTCTTAAACCTAGCATTTTGAATTGTCATAATAATAATAATTCAAAATTAGAATTCGCTTTACTTTTACAACTTTTATGAATTATAGCAATTGTAATGGTTATGCAAATATTATTATTATTATTATTATTATTACTATTGTTTTTTTTCAATAACTCATTTATTACTATCATATATATCTCTTATAATAACACATAAATATATAACATACAAGTAATAATATAGACCCACTTCGTCGTCTTTACTGATATCACCAAAAATCAGAGAAGTCATGTTGTGATGATAAATAATAAGGTCACATGAGCTGTTACTTTTCGAATATAGAACTTGGCTAATGACGATAATGCAATGTTATAACGGTGTTTTATACTAGACTGTTGGAATGAGTTCAAACAATTTCCAAATAAAAGATCAATATAATAAAAATTGAAATTTTTGTTTTATATTAAAGTTTCAATTTTATTAATAAATATTTTTGATTTTTATATCAAAATTAGAATTTATATTTTAGCATATATTTTTTAGATTTAATCTGACAAAGTTGTTTTAATTGCAAAGTTATTGTAAATTAAAATATAAAATTAATTATAAAAAATTTTTGAAATTAGAATATTTTTGTCAAATTAAATCCAGAAAAAATATATATTAAAATATAAATTATAATCTTTGTTTTGATATAAAATTAAAAATATTAATTAATAAAATTAAAAACTTTTATATAAGATAAAATTTCAATTTTTACTATATTTATTAATAAAATTGCATACATGATTTCATAATTTTGTGAGTTATTATAGTAATTACAACATAATTATGTTATAATCACTTAATTTAAATTATAATATACAGATTGGAAAATTCAAGTCACTTGAATGATATGTGAATTACAAAAACTCAAGTTACTTAACTTGAATATATATCAAGAATGACATGTAGATTGCAAAACTTAAGTCACTTGTACAAGCTGAAACATGTGTTGAGGATAGACACACAGTGCCATGACTTGATATTGTTATGAATAAGTTTTTACATAATGAAATTATAAAAATATGAATAAATGTTATATCAAAATAGCTAAACTTAGTCATAATATAAATTGTTAGCTAGCAAACAATACTATAATAAAAGTGTTTGTTAAATATAATTTATATGATATTATCAAGATAATATTAGTGCATGTAAGATAATTTTGCTTTTTTGTTTACTAAATAAAAATATATAAAAATTAAAATTATAATAATAACTATTTTATTAATAAAAATATTAAAATAATAAAAATAATAAAAATATTAAAAATTATATATTTTCAAAAATAGTATATTTTTAAATTAATTTTATTAAGTTATTAGTTGAACTAATTACTATAACTTACTTTTTTATAGTTATAAAAATAGTTGTATTTATATCTAATTTACATTATTTAAGTATTATATTAATTATATCAATAATTGCTAATAATAAATATAATAATAATGATCATAATAATAATAATTACAGTAATTATGATAATTATAATAATTATAATAATTATAATAATTATAATAATTATTGTTATAGTATAAATTATATAAATTATAAAAGTTATAAGAATTATATTGAAATTATAAGAAATTTATTCAAAATTATATAAATTATAATAATAATAAATATTATGAATTATTGTGAAACTGAATTATTATAAAATTTATATAATTTATAAGATTAAATTATGTAAATTCTAATTTGTTTAACATCCTTTAAAATTATGTGAATTATATAATATATATTAAATTAACAAATATCTGTATATTATCAGTTTATGTATAGATATTTTTATAATATATATTTTTATTTATAGATTTGTATTACTTAAATTAACAATAATGAAAAAAAATAATTAATGTTAAAAATAACAATTTTATTATATTTATAATTATTACTTAAATTATATGAATAATTTATTTAGATTTTTAACTATATGTGCTGAATTTTATATATTTGTGATATTTGTATTACTAAAAATTAACTTTATTTTTTTATTCAGTTAAGACAGGTTACTTAATGAGTTTGATTAATTTAGACTAAAGATGGCGTGGTAACTGTTGCAATGTGATGACAAATAAAGCATCACCTAGTTGCAACTAGTTGCAGCTTATAAAATTTTGAAGTTGCAACGTGTTGCAACAGGTGACAAATAAGCATCACATACTTGCTGCGCCATCTCTAATTTAAATACAGAATAAATATATTTATTTTAATAATATAATAAGTTATATATTTTTTATTTATAAGCAATTGATAATATTTTAACAATAAATTTTGCAAAAAGTTTATTTTTGATTGTATTATTTAGCAAATATAGTAAATAAAACTTCTATCAATATAGCTTTTTGAATTATTCAATTAATTATCTAAAAAAGATCTACTAGATAATAGTTTTTGATTATATTTATATTTCATTTTCAGAAATAATTTTATTTATCCATGAAATAAATATAATAGTAATTAGAGTATTTTGTGAAAATCTAACTTGTTCACATATAACTACAAAGAATATCTAAAAAAGAACAATAAAAAAATTATTAAAATATAAATAGAATTGATATAAACAAGTTTCTAAAAATGAACAGTAAACTTATCAGGCTAGAAGTCTTAAAAATTCTAGAAGAGATAATCAAAAAAAATCTAAAAACTATTATATCAAATTAAAAAAGAAATTATATTAGTAAAATCTTGAAATTAAAAAAGACTTTAAAGAAAATAAGAAAAATACTCACTAATAGTAAATTAAGAGAAAACAATTTATTAATTAAATAAAAATTTGAATTATTTAGTGAAAATTCAAATTAGTGAATTACTAATAAAAATTATCAAATATATAGATATAGGATTATAATTAGAATTATTTTATTTTTTTAATTTTAATTATATTAAATAATATATATCTGAAATATTTGATATATCTGACTTATTTATCAATACTAAGAAATTAAATATATTATAATTATCTTATTTATATAATATATCTTATATTATTATATTTTTATAATGAAATAATTTTATATAAATAAAGGATCTTTTGAAAATATCAATTAATTACTACAAAAAATCTAGCTAGTTAATAAACTATTATTTATTATTAATGAAATTTATATATTAATTAATTTAAAAATAAATAATAATAATCTTATAGTAATTACTTATATTTATTGTGCATTATTGAACAATTATAGAATATCAATACTATATTACTATAAAATTATCTTATATTAAGTAAATATAATATTTATTAATAATAGTAAAAGTCTATTTAATAAATAGAAAAAATGCACTATGTGATAATTCTAAAGTATACTGATTATGATAAAATTGAATAACTATAAAATTACTATTATTAAATATTAGTTAAATATCTATTTTACAATATTATTTACTAAAAATCTAATCATAACAGCAGAAATTTATACAATCAAATTCCTCTAAAGTCATACCTGTTTATAGTCATACCTCTTTATAGTTACTCTATTTTTGCTTTTTTATTTATATATAAATATAATAAAAAATCTTTTTATAGTCACATTCTCTCTATAATTATCAAAGTTTGCTTTTTTGAGAATAGTGACTATAGAGAGATTTAATTATAGAATTAAAAAAAATAATATTAATCAAGATGAGATAAAAGAAAAAGCTTAAAGTGATAATTTGTAGTTAAACTAACTAAATAACAAGCAAATTTGATTATTTACATATTTTAAATGAGTGATAAGAAAGACAAACAGTTCAATTTATTACTTCTTATAATTACTTCATTGCTATTCAAGTTTGAAATTGTTTTTGTAATAAACAAAATAAATTAGTATTAAGAATTAAAAGAAAAAACTATATTTAAAACTAGTATTATAATATATTTTATTTCTTATATTTTATTGAACAATTAATTAGTTTATTTTTATTGGATATTTTATATAATATATTTTATTGAAGAATATTTATTTTTAATTTTATTGGTTATCTATTTTGAACTTATTATTTATTTATATTATATATTAATGTGATAGATATATTGAACTTTTAATATTTTGAAAAATTGATCTTTAGAGATATCGAACCATTGATATTTTGAATCATTAATCTTTAGAATAATAGAATTTTTATTAATTTAATATTATGAATATTTAGAGATTTTGTTACAATTAATTTTATATATAAGTAGTACTTCACTTAATAACAAAAAGACAAGTTTCATATAAGTCTAAAAAATAAAAGTTAATAAATTAAGTTATTGTCAATAAATTAGATAACAACAAATTCACTTATCAAATATCTTATAATTATTCTTTGATTTTTGATTATAAACTTGGAATAGTCTAGTAATACTATTATTCTTGTATTATATACTTATATAGTCTATATGTAGAGTATCAACTGAGGTAGCAATAGTGAAAAATATAGTAATAAAAAAACTTTGTTAATAAAACTAGCTTGAACTTATTATAATTATAATATATCATCTTTTTAATAATAAACTTAACTTGATCTATTATCTTTTCTTATAATTGTAAAAAGAGATCCATTTAAAGATCTTTTATTATACAAATACTGTTAAAAGAATTAGAATAACAGTTAGTAATATTACAATTCAGATATTCTATAGTATAATTATTTTATTGATAATTAATCACTTTTATTATATTTAATATTTTTAATAATTTAATTTAATTATTTATTATTTAATTATTTAATTTATTATATTTTTATTGGATAAATTTGAAATTATATAACTTTTATGTGTAATATATGATTTCAATATGTGATTTCTATATGTGACTTGTACATATGATTTTACATGTCACTTATTAATTATTATTATAACTTTTATAATTTATAATTTCTTATAATTTCTTGTAAT